TAATGATTAAAAGAAAATTGGGGTTGCTTGGGGGTGGGGATGGGTAGTAGAGGAGATTGGATTACAAAGAAGAGGGAGGAACTTTTGGGGATGATGTATTCATATGTTGTGGGGGGTATTAATACATCAATATTCCTCAGCTAGTACACTTTACATATGTGATGTTCATTGTATATTAATTATTCCAAATAAAAATATTTTTTTATACCTCATAAAAATATTTTTTAAAGGTTCTTTTGTTGCTATTTATACTTTCTAATTCCTGGAAAGTCTGAAAAACAAAGTATTACATTTGTACTCCCCACTCCCAATTTTTACTAAAACAATGACAATAATAAAAATTCACACTAGAACAAAACAAACAAGAAAGCAAACAACTCACCCTATTTTAAAATGGAAATTTAAAAATTTAAAAAGCAAGAAAATAGAAATTTATCTTATAAATCATACCATAAATCACAAATGTAGCCTATACCAACATTATCATAAGTGCAACACATTAAGATTTTAGGCATTGTTATTCCATCCTGAACCATATTCTCATGTTTTACAAACCAAATAACAGAAGTCTTGTACTAGTAAAACATTTCAGCTTTTTATGACACATTTTAGGAATATTAAGATGCCATGAAAACAGAGCCCTTCTAGATTGTAGTCTAATTGTGCACAAATATTTATTAAGAGTCTACATGATACCAGCGACTGGGCTTGGTGCCAGGGTTACACAGGTGACATATGTTGACGTGGAGCATGTTGTCATGTGGATCACCGTCTGGTGGGAGCGGAAGATGATAAGCAGATGATCTTAGGAAAGTAATTCCAGAAAATTAGGGCTGCAGTTTGGTGCAGCTGGTACTGAACAAGGGAGAGACGTTCGGAACAAGCGTGTGTATAATAGACTGATTTCCCCTGATCTTGAGGGAAGAGGGGAAGGGAAGGGACTTTCCTAAGGATGGGGAGGTAAGGCTGAGAAGTGTAGAGCTTTCTGGGCAGAGACTGGCATGGGGAGCCAGGTAGTCGGGTGTAGGGAGTTCAAGGGATTTGGGGGCCGATCTAGGAAAAACAGGTCCACGAGAGGTGGGAATACGCAATAAGCTTAATGGGGCGGTGCTCGGACAGTGTAGCGTGAGAAGGGGAAGTCCAGAGGCTCTGGTGTGGGGACCACCACGCAGAAGGGGAGAAGAGGAGTCGGCCAGGGCGACGTGTCTACGTGATGTCAGCTCCAGCATGGTCTGGACTGTATGGGGCAGAGTTTCAGAGAGCAAGGGTGGCAGCAGCTTGGGTCTTGCATCTACAAGGTTTTAGTCCATCAATGGCCCACAGAAGCCAGGTGTGGTTTCACAGGGTGTGAAAGGCAGGCAGGGCCGAGCTAGCTGTCAGCACAGAGCCCGACGCGGGGCCCGAACCCACGAACTGTGGGCTCATGGCCTGAGCTGGAGTTCGACACTCAACCAACTGAGCCACCCAGGCGCCCCTGTTTGGCCTTTTTTAAAACAATTGGATGTACACAAATTTGAGGTTGCTGCCAGGAGGCTTTGGAGCTAGCAGGTCTCAGCCTGCTGTGAGGAAGTGAACAACCTAGGCACCCTCTTTGGCTCATTCGTATAACATGGGGGAAGCATAAGGCCCATCTGAGTTGCTGAAGGAAGGCCAGAGCCCGGGGAACGCAGAGTGAGGCTGGCATTGGGGGGAAGCATCTGTACTGACACCCCACTCAGTGCAGGGCCCCGGCGCTCCCTGTTTAGGATTTTGGTCATTATCTTAAGAGCCACTGCAGCATTTCCTGATGTGGTCAGATCTGTGATTTGAAGCTATGGTTCTGGGGTCGCCTGGGTGGCTCAGTCACATAAGCTTCAGACTGTTGGTTTCGGCTCGGGTCTTGATCTCATGGTTCGTGAGTTCGAGCCCCCCATCAGGCTCTGTGCTGACAGCTGACAGCACAGACCCTGCTTGGAATTCTCTGTCCCCGCCCTCTCCAGCCTTCCCCCTGCTCATGCTCTCTCTGTCTCTCGAAAATACATAAATAAACATTTAAAAAGAAAAGAAAAGAAAATATTGCTCTGGTAGAGGAGTGACTAGCAGAAGGGCTGGGGTGGAGACCTCTCTTGGATACAGCAGTGAGATTCAACTCCCAGGGAGATAGTTCAGTGTTCACAGACACGGTCATGGAACAGACCCACGCTCGGCTCATGAGCTCTGCAGAAGCACGATAGAAAACTATAGGAAACGCTCAGGGAGGGAGGCGCTGCAGGACATGATTAAGTTTTTGGATCAGTTGATTTTTAGGATCTTAAAACCTGTAGCGGATCTATCAGGCGAACAGCCACTTTGCTCATTTTCAGGGTTTGGCTGCTAGAAAGTATTTCTTGAGTACCTTTGTCTCTTTAGTGCTACACCAGGCTGCCACAGACCGCTTCGCAGCCCGGTATCTCTGGATCTCTTTATAATAGCGCAGTGCAGGTCACAGGAAAAGGGACTGGAAGGTCAGTGAAGGGGAGGCTAGGGAACATGGACCAAGGGCACCAGGGAGCACGGAGCCCACACCCTGCCCCCTGGGGGTCTCCTCTCTGCCTGGAGGTGGCTGCTTCTCTGTCCTCCTCCACATTACCCCTGTCACCCACCCCTCCCACCGAACTCCAGAAAGAGGCCTTTCTTTTTTTTATTTTAATGTTTTTTCTTATTTATTTCTAGGAGAGAGAGAGAGAGACAGCGTGAGCAGGGGAGAGTCAGAGAGAGAGGGAGTCACAGACTGAAACAGGCTTCAGGCTCTGAGCTGGCAGTCAGCACAGAGCCCGACGCGGGGCTCGAACCCACGAACCGCGAGATCATGACCTAAGCGAAAGTCGGACGCTTAACTGACTAAGCCACCCAGGCGCCCCTTTCTTTTTTTTTTTCTTTCTTTCTTTTTTTTTTAAACAGAAAGAGGCCTTTCTAAAGCAGCGGTCTTCATACGTGACTCCCCATAAAGTGTTAGTGACTTTGAGGTAACACCACCAGGAGAGATCTGTACTCTGGCCTCCTTTCCTAATAAGGTGGGTAAGATCCGGTTTGGGAAGAGAGGAGAAATCTCTAGCTGGGGCAGGGCCACTGGCATTTGCAGCCCTACTTTGGTCCTTGAGATGCACGTTCCTATTGTAATGTCTTAGAAATGATGACCGCTGTCACAAGCTGGTCAGGGGGGACAGGGTTGTTCAAATATTCCAGTCTGGTGGTTCCTAACGTGCGGTCCCCAGCCAGCAGCACCTGCCTCACCTGGGACCTTATTAGAACTGCAAGTTCCTCGGTGCCCCCCCCGCCCCCCAGACCTGCGAGATGAGACTCGCCGGAGCCGCGCCCAGCGCGCTGCCTGTGACAAGGCTTGCAGGGGGTCCTGCTGGTCACGGACGCTCCACAGCCACTGCTCTCGCCCAAGTACGGCTCTGTGGCTCTTCCCTCAGTCCCGACTCATATCTGGAGCAGTTAAATGACACTTTCCTGAGGGCAGAGGCTTCCCAATGCAAAACAGGGGGTAGGTCAGGAAAATGTGGGGTGAATCAGACAATTTTCTCTACAGAAGAACTTCTCGGAGGCTTTATTATGCTAATACCCATTTTCATTCTATAAGAGGGAGATAGGCTATGGGCTGCTTTCCCCCCTTTTTTGAATAAATGACCCCTTTCCCAGGGTGTCTGGGTGGCTCAGTCGGTTAAGCGGTTAAGTGTCCGACTCTTGATTTTGGCTCAGGTCACGATCTCACGGTTGGTGAGATCGAGTCGCACATCTGGCTCTGTGCTGACAGCATGGAGCCTGCTTGGGTTTCTCTCTGTCTCCCTCTCTCTGCCCCTCCCATGCTCACTCTCTAAAAAAATAAATAAACATTAAAAACAATTAAAGGACCTTTTTTCCAAGGGGATCTCAGTGAATCATTAGTGTTTGGTGGAATCCACCTTGGAAAATGATGGACCATGAAAGGGAAATGAGAGCAGTGACGTGAAAATCCCATTTGGTGGATTGCCCTAAACCCTGTGTCACTGTAATTCCTATGCATTCATGCCAGGTCCACAGAGCATCAACTACAGCCAGCACCGTGCTGGGTTCTGGAGATACAGACTCGAACAACAAACATATCACAGCTAACTATAACTCAGGGTGTTGAGCAGGGGCCACCATAGCAGAATGCACGGATCAGCGTGGAAGCACAGAGAAGGAGTGCCCACCTCCCCAGGGGGCCCTCAGTCCTGCGGCGCGGTCACCTGTCATGGCCCCCGCGGTCCACCAGGCACTATGCACAGAGCGTTTGATGCATGGAGTAGCAATCCCTCACATCTCCATGGCAGAGAGCTTTTAGACACGTTACTGAGCCAGTGTTCATAACAACCCTGAGGGAGAGCCTGCTCGTTTCCTGTGGCCACTGTAACAAACCACCCCAAACTTAGTGGCATGAGACAAAACAACTTTATTGTCTTAGGGTCCTTTGGGAGAGATGTTCAACCCAGGTCTCCCTGGGCTAATGTCAAGGTGGTGGCTGAGCTGTGTTCCTTTCTGGGGGCTCTGGGGGAGAATCCATTTCCTTGCGTTGTCCATCACCCTTTCCTCACGGCCCCTCTTCCATCTTCACAGCCACATGGCCTCTCTCCGTGCTTTCTTCTGTAGTGACCTCCTCCTCTTCCTCTCTGAAGGACCCTTGTGATCACACTCAGCCCACCTAGAAAATCCAGGATAATCTCCCCATTTTAAGGTCGACTGAGAAGCAACCTTCATTCCATCTGAAACCTTAATGCTTCTTGATGAAATAACGTACTATATTCACAGGCCCTGGAGATTAGGATGTGGACATCTTTAAAAGGCCGTTATTCTGCTTACCTTGGAAATAGAATAGCATCACTGTCCTTGAAACCAAGAGGACATTGGAGCTCTGGGAGGTGACAGCATTTGTGAAGGACTCAAGGCTCTAAATCCTGTGGGGTTTTCCTCTTTAAAAATTTTTTTAAGTTTATTTATTTACTTTGAAGGAAAGTTTTAAGTTTTATTTATTTAGAGCAGGGGAGGGGTAGAGAAAAAGGGAGAGAGAGTGAATCCCAAGGAGGCTCCTCGCTGACATCGCAGAACCTGACGCAGGGCTCCATCTCACAAACCGGGAGTCCATGACCTGAGCTGACGCCAAGAGTCGGATGCTTAACCGGTCGAGCCACCCAGGCGCCCTGGGTTTTCCTTCTTGATATTGCTTTGCTCTTCCTGTTACCATTAGAGCTAAAATCGCAGTTATAGGGGTGCCTGGATGGCTCAGTCAGTTGAGCATCTGACTTTGGCTCAGGTCATGATCTCATGGTTCATGATTTCTAGCCCTACACGGGGCTCTGTGCTGGCAGCTCAGAGACTGGCGCCTACTTCGGATTCTACGTCTCCCTCTCTCTCTCTGTCCCTCCCCTGCTTGTGCTCTCTCTTGCTCTTTCAAAAATTAATAAACATTAAAATAATAATAATAAAATAAAATTGCAATTACAGGTTCTGGTAAGTAAGTAGAAATATGAAGGCCCCGTGAGGCCCGTGAATGAAACCCCATCCCTTATTAACGATCAAGTAGCTATTTTTGTTTTTAAAGATCAAGTAGCTGTTTAATTTTTTCCATTTCCTTTGATGCATATCTTGGCTATATTTTTTATTATAAAAACAAATCCAAAAACCCCTATGATTGTATAGTACATACTAACTCTTTCTGAAAGGAGATCAGTGCGTATCATAAACTGTATGTGTCCAGCCTGGTGTTACTTGTAATGTTCTCCTTCTGTTTCCTTTCACACTGTACCTACAGACCGGTGGTTCTAAGCCTGCTTTGGGGACACCCCATTGTGTCAGGGGACTTTATGAAATTCTCTAAGCAAATTCAATTTACTTTCATGTTCAAAGTTCATGTGCCGGGCCACACTTTTAGAAGTGGAGTTGTTATAAAAACGAACAATGGTAGGCTGATAGGATGCCAGAAAAGTTGGCAAATAGCCTCTTAACAAAGAATCTACTACATCTGAATATTGTTGCCAGGAAGGGGAAAGGAGGGGGAACTAGCTTTATTGAGAGCCTGTGTCTCCAGGCACCCGGCTACGTTCTTCCACACGTAAGCTGCACTGGGACTGCAGGCAAACATAATTTCTAAATTACTTACCACTATTAAGTACTGGAAATGAAATTTAGGGAGATATTAAAAAGTGGTGCTGGTTCAGAGACCTCCAGGCAGTCTGGCTCTTGGTCTATTTTCTGAGGACTCATGGAGGAAGTGTGCCCTGTCAACAGAACGTGCCACCAAACCAAGCCCAGGGCTTGAAGGGGACAGGACACAGAAGAGACAAGCCCCAGAGTTACTGGCTTGCTTTTATTAAACAAGTTTTTTTAATGTTTATTTATTTTTGAGAGAGAGAAAGACAGAGCGTGAGTTGGAGAGGGGCAGAGAGAGAGGGAGACACAGAATCTGAAGCAGGCTCCACGCTCTGAGCTGTCAGCACCCAGCCTGATGGGGGCTCGAACCCACAAACCATGAGGGCATGAGCTGAGCCGAAGTCGGACACTTAACTGACAGAGCCACCCAGGCGCCCCACTGGCTTGCTTTTATGATGGGTCATACCCTCAGAGGCTTGATACTGTACGTGGACGGTAGATCTTAAGAACCAGAAGCTATCTTCTGTGTTGGGGTCCTTGCTTCATCATTTTTCTAAGGACCTTTTTCTAAAGATTTTTTATATCAGATATTATAGTCCTATTCTTGCCTTCCTAACCTCATTTCCCCTCCCCCCAAGCTATATATTAGGTGCATTGCCTTTGAACTTTTGTAATACTATATGCAATACAAATTAGGAGATCAAATAAATGTTTTGAGCTAAAGAAACACATCCTGAAAATTTCATAGTTTGGTACAATGCCATGTGGACTTAGCAGTAATTGCATTCTCCACTCACTGAAAAAACTGGGAAACGCAGCAGAAGAACAGAATGGAAAAATCCGTGGGAAAGCTAACACCCTTTAGGTGCTCGTGTTTCAGGTAATGAGGTCTAAGACAAGCAGTAAGATCCTAACATACATGCGCTCGCTTGTTCTTCTTGACCCTGTCCGTGGATTTTGGAAGTTCCAAAGCCAGGGTCACATTTAGAAATTGTGGCGTGTCTCTGGAAAACAATTAAACATGTTAGTGCAGCAAGGAAGAGCCTCACAGCTGAGACTGTGAGGGCTCAACGCGGGATGTGACTGATTGTCATACTGAAGAGATTAAGCATCAAACCGCCGGGGACAAGAACCATACCTGCGACTCTTAGAAGCAAGTGGCTAGGAGCAAGCCAGGTATTAGGCCACTCTTGCGTTCAATATAAAAAAGCCTCATTGGCAAACCATGAGAGACTCTTGAATGCTGACAAAAACTGAGGACTGATGGATGTGGGGGGGAGGGGGGGAGGGGCATGGAGGAGGGCACTTTGGGGATGAGCACTGAGTGTTATGTAGAAACTAATTTGACAATAAACTATTTGTAAAAAAAAAAAAAAAAAAAAAAAAAAGGAAACCATGGGGCACCTAGGTGGCTCAGTCAGTTAAGCATCCAACTTTGGCTCAGGTCATGATCTCATGGTTAGTGAGTTCGAGCCCCACATCAGGCTCCGTGCTGACAGCTCAGAGCCTGGAGCCTGCTTCGGATTCTGTGTCTCCCCCTCTCTCTGCCCCTCCCCTACTCATGCTCTGTCCCTCTCTCAAAAATACACATTTAAAAAAATAAAACAAAAAATAAAAAGGAAACCACGATAATCAAAAAAAAAAAAAAAAAGCCTCATTAAGAAACTCTGCAAAAGAATGAGGGCTGCCATCTTGTGGCCATGAGGAGCCAGGCAAAATGAGCCCATAGGCTTGAGGCATCTGTTTTGCAACTGGTACCTCATGCCATTCTGCTCACGTCAGTGATGAGTCCCGGCATCGCACGAGCCAACATCAGCTGGTATCTACCCTTCCTGGGACAGTCCAGTTTCTGAAGTGAACGGCAGAGAGGATTGTTGAGCCACCTCAGCCACAAGGCTCATTGTAGAAACTGAAGACCACGGGAAAGTAGGATCTGTGTGTCTTGGCGATTCCGTGGCATCATTCACCCATCAAGCCACCGTTCATTGCCTACATGCCTGCTACGTGTGTAAATGTGTGAGGGCCACAGTGATGAGCGGGGCAAAGCCTTGTCTTTCCTGAGTTGACAGTGGAGTGGCATCGTGAGGTTATCTCCAGGTGCCATACTGTCTGTAGCGACAGATGCCTCCCCACGCTTAGGAGCAAATAGGAAGGAGACGCTCAAACAAAATCAGTGAAAGAAGAGAGCAGAATTCGGAGGGAAGGGTTCCTGGCTCCCTTTCTTGTCTCCTGTCTAGAGCACAGAGTTGGGTTGGGGCTGGGGACAGGAAGGAGGAAAGGACCGATCTGACTTTCCTTCTCTGAGGCTGAGGGGTGGATGGGGAGGATGATGTGCTGGCCGGCACCAGGCAGCCACTCTAAGGCCATGGGGCAGGCAGAAAGGCTTCCAGGCTGCTGTTGCAGAGTCCTGAGGGGCACTTGCACTTCCTTCCTCTGCTACTGCTGCTTTCTCCTTTTCACATTTCCTCTCTCTCTGCTTGTCTTTTTTTCTCCTTACTCTTTTGTCTCTTTCTCTTTTCCCTTCCTTGTATTCTCTTACTTTACTCTTCCCATCTTTCCCCTTTTTTTTCTATTTTTCTTCCTTTTATTTTAAAAAAGACCTTTTCTCCCTTTTCCCCCTTGGTTTCCTCTGCATCTTTTACTGCTTCCTCTTGTTTTTCTTCCCCCAGCCCCTTTTCACACACTTATTCACACGCTTATTACCACGGACAAGCCTGCTTGTAGCTGCCTATCTGTGTGCACACAAATCTTGTTCGAACTGGGTTCTGGGGACACTGTACCTTGGCCCGTCTCAGTCCTTGGTGGTGTGCCATGGACCTTTGCACTTAGGGACCAGGGGCTCTAGACAGGACTGTCACCAAGTTTGGGAAAGGACATTCCGAGTGCTTTAGGCTGCAAGTGTCCAATGCCATTCTCTCTTTTCTAGTCCCTGCCTTCATAACTACTTCTGCATTCAACAAGGAGAGAACACGACAAGCCGCATTTCCACAGTGGTCTACACACACAGAGGATGCCGGGTAATTTGCTGTTTTTGTTTGTATTGTCTGGTTTGAGTTTTTCAGCTTCTACTTCTCCAGTGTATGCTTAAGTCAGCCCATAAAGGTCAGCTTGGTGTGACGGGTTTTCTTGTTACTTGTTCACTGACTTTGGATAAAACGTGACTCTTTACCACAAGGCCAGGCCCTGTTTTTGTGGGGCTGCAAGGATTTGTCTCTGAGGTCCGCTCAATGAGAAACATGCTTTATAAAATGATGTCCCTTTACCCATCATTCCAAGGGTGTTCCTCTTATAGTCATTACGGGAACATGGATCTAGCACCTTTGTGTCTGATAAATTTGAAAGTGGCCCACATCTCAGCTCTGAGGATTTTCACCAAGACGGAAGGCACAGGCTGGGAGGGGGCTCTGTGCTTACTTGAAGTCGGCTCTTCAGCTGTCAGCATAAGGCCACCAGACAGCTGTTATGTTCAGATCCCCACACGGCCACTCACTAGCCTTAAGACCCTGGAGATGTCCCACCTCAGTTTTTCTTCTTGAAAAATGAAAACATTAATGCCTACCACATGGCATTGTTAGGAGAATTTAATGAGAAAATAATGAAGAGACGTCTGGGTTAAGCTGGCTGATGAAAGTTGATTGAAGCTGTGTCACAGAATTTCCTGAGGACCTAAAGGTACCTTATAAATGGCCTAGCACTCTTAAAGCTCTTTGAAGCAGACTCTCCAATCTCTTTCCATCTAACCTAGGACAGCTCATAATTCCACGGAAAAGAAACCAGTCCATTGTAGCTTACTTAATTAGAACTGAAAATGCAACGTGCAGGAGTTTTACTATGTTTTGCTTCCCCGAAGAATTGTAAAATCATGTTGCTTTTTAGTACAAGGCTCTACAATATTCACCCATGTCTGCCTGTTCCTCCTGGGCATTCCGAGTCTAGTCACGTAGAGATTTCCATAGTTCACCGTAAGGCGACACTAGCCTCTGTCACAGAAAAACATCTCAGCTTCCCATTCCCTTTTATCTGTGGTGCCCAATATAACCGATGCTTGGGTTCAAGTCCAAACTCCCTGTCATTATCACCGATCATACCAGGCGGGGCGTGTAGGGAAGGCCTGTGGGTCCGAGAAAGCCTGGCTGCTGGCCTGAGCATCGAGGGCTCGCTCTCCAGGGCTTACATGTTTTCAGGCTCAAGCCAGTTCTTTCTCAGTCTCTATCATTCCTAAAGTATCAGCAAAGTTATTAAGGGTCGGTTTCCTACAGAAATGTGCTTTTTACACACAATTTGGTGGTCAGACTAGATGGGATACAGGATATACAAAATTCTGTAAATTCATGTTGACCAGGTCATTTGATCATGGATTGGAAAAGACATACACTTCACTGTTAGTTGCCAGTCGGACATCATCCATCATCCTGGCTCAGCAAATGAGGAACTTGACAAGGCATTGTGTGACTGTGCTTCACTTGGGAGAGTGCCCTGCGCTGCCTTCTCCAGTCTGTCAAATGCCCTCGGTGCCTTCAGGCTCCTGGAGACTTTCCGCAGCATTAGGCTACCGCTAATTACAGCACGTGCAACCCTTGTGGGGTTTTTTGGTTTGTTTGTTTTTTTGCTCTAGATACTGTATGGAGTTCAAGACAGAGTCCCTGACTCATCACTGTGCTATGGAAAACCGACCCCTGACTCGATGGATGCAGTATCTCCGGGAGGGGTACACGGTGTGCGTGGACTGTCAGCCCCCAGCTATGAACTCGGTGAGCCTCCGCTGTTCCGGAGATGGCCTGGACTCTGATGGGTAAGGGAGAAACATCAGTTGAAGGAGCTTTCTTGTTTTTATTTGGAGATATTTGTCCTCTGTGTCCTGAACAGCAGACCATTATATAGCGAATCAGGGCATGATTTGGGAGTCAACACCCCAAGTAAGGAGAATCTTCTGTCTAGCAATTCCTGAATCCAGGGCCCAGTTCACATTATGGGACTCAGAGGCTCTATAGCAGAGATGAATGGATACATTTGGATATTGGCTCAGACCATGTTCCCCAACGACTACTGAAAACATGGTCACTCGAAAGCAGTGTTTTGAAAACCACTTGAATCAGAACCTCTTGGGATGGTGATTTAGGGTACACAGATTCCTGAGCCCCGCTTGAGCCTAACTGAATCAGAGTCCTTGAGGGTGGATTTTTAACAATCTTCTAGGTCAAGAGTTGGCAGAGAGTAGATGCTCTCAGTTTTGTGGGCCATATGGTCAGTCTCACTACTCAATTCTACCACCATGGCTTGGAAGCAGTCACAGACACTATGTGAACAGATGAACTTGGCTTTGTTCTAATACTGTATCTGTGGACACAAAGGTTCAAATTCCATATAATTTTCATGTGTCATGATATATTATTTTGATTTTCTTTTGACTCTTTAAAAACCAAAAACTGAGGGGTACCTGGGTGGCTCAGTCGGTTGAGCCTCTGACTTCAGATCAGGTCACGATCACATGGTTCGTGGGTTTGAGCCCCATGTCAGGCTCTGTGCTGACAGCCAGCTCAGAGCCTGGAGCCTGTTTCAGATTCTGTGTCTCCCTCTCTCTCTGACCCTCCCCTGCTCACACACACACTCTTTCTCTCTCTCTCTCTCAGAAATAAATAAAACATTTAAACGTTTTTTAAAAAACCCCAAAACTGTTCTTAACTCACAAGCCATACAAAAACAAGGGGTAGGCTGGCCATGGCCCATCGGTTGTGGGTTGCTGACCCCTGCCCAGAGGATTCACTCCCACAGCAACGTTTCAGGACCAATGCTCCGTGGGGTAGTCCTAAAACCATAGCTGAGGCGATGGTGGGCTCAGCTCCACAGGATCAGAAACTGATAGAAACCTATGGGTTGTCCAAAAGAATTGACCCTGAGAACATTTAGTTACCCTGAATATACAGTCCTGTACTCATTTATCAGTTACATCCAAGGGCACTATTCCTAACTAAGAGAAGTGTAGACTTCATGCTGGTCAGCTCTTGGACAAGGGCCAATTTCGGTCACACACAGATTACGGTTTTCAGTATATCAGGTGGAACTGGTAAAAGTACAGATTAGAAAGTAAATATGAACCTTTCCAGCTAGTCATTACTCCCATAGTGTATTTTATTATTTAATAACTTGAATGTATGTTATTAGTCACTCAAGCTTAATAACCTTTGTAAGGAGTATACCACATGAGCAGTAAAGTAGGTTAGAAACCAAATATTGAGACTTAATATTTTTCTGAGTATCTCATCTATATTTTGTCTTTAAATGAATTTACATTTTAATCTGTATCCATAAAGTACCTCGAACCCCGGATGAATTTCCCGTGATCTTAAAAATAACAATTTCAATAATCTGGCTTCCTTCTTCCTGCTTGTCCTGTTTTTTTTTTCATTATGGAATCAAAGAGTTGGAGATGATTACAGGAGATCATTTGGGCAGAGCCCTCTAATTTACATATACATGAAATAGGGAGCCATTTCCTCTATGTAACACTTCATGTATTCAGATCAAGTGAGAGAAATGAATACAGCATCCTCAAACTGCTCTCTCAGTGAGGGTGTCTTTGTAACTCGCTTTGACAGAACCCAAAGAAGGGAAACTCAGTTTGTGATCATTTTTTTAAACATTTCAATTTGTCATGCACTCCAAAACTCCAAATATGATCATTTTTAAAGCAACAACAGAACGCCTCAATTTATAATTCTGTAAATTGGAATTTTCCTTGGTTTGCTTTTAGCGTAACTACCATTTTCAAAATATCGTTTCAGAAATCAAACTCTCCACTGGCAAGCCATTGGCAATCCTCGATGTCAAGGAACTTGGAAAAAAGTTCGGCGAGTAGATCAGTGTTCTTGTCCAGCTGTTCACAGCTTTATTTTTATATAGATTGCAATTGCGATGTAAATATTTCAGAATGTGTTTGTAAACATGCTAAGTATTACTACTAAGTCATGTTCAGTGCTTCATAAACCTTCAAAAGCCGTTTGGCCCAAGTCTCTGAACACGTGTCATTGTCACACTCTGGAGAAGCGAAGAAAATTTACGGGCCAGTTCTCAAGATATGTAGTGCCTTTATTTTCATTTTTACTACACCGAGGACCTACCCTAAAGTCTCCTGTGGTTCTGTGTCCTTGGCCTTCTGTAGAGTCTTCTCATTCAAGAGGTGGCCCACACAGCACAAAATACAAGTCTCTTTGCACTAAAATTACTACAACATGGTCCATTTATTGGTGGGGTAGATTGTCATTTACGGGTATCCATGCTTTGAATCTTGCATTCTTTCTTTCTATTCTGTAATCTCTTAAAATCCTCTCACTTTAAAAAATATATACAGATATATATGCACGCTGTCACACATACATTTCCCATTTTCCACATATTCCATAAATTGTGAAAGAATAATTTCAAGAAAATAGTCACAAGTAATTTTCAACAGGGCAAAGCGTTTAAGATTTAGTAAGTGTTTTGTAATGAAAAACCAACAGCTAAGTTAAAACTACTTTTTTGAAGAAGAAATTATCTTTTGTTAATGGACAAGACCAATCAAATGTTCGTTCTAAGTCCAACTAAGTCAGTCCAAGTTCCTTAAGTGCTGTAACTTTCATGAAGAGAATTTTGGTACCAATGGATGAAACAGTGCTTTAAGTGCAAAAATTTTACTATCATTATCATCTAAGATTATTTCCAAGGCTTAAAACTTGATGCAGACTAAAGTAATCTTTCAGATTTCAGTTTAAACCCACTGCAAGTTTAATCAAGGTAGACTTACTGCTTTATTTTCTACAGCATACATGTTCTTATGTTTGGGGTGGAAGGCAGAGGAATAAATGATGGAAGACGTTTGTTTTATTACAAATGTGATGATCTCACACACACGAAGTATTCGTCTTCTTATTTTATGATTGGAAAACCAGCGAATCAGAGCCAAGGGGGCTTGTTTCAGGACGTTGGAGGACACGTCATTCTGCAGGTGAGCCACGACCTGACCTCTGCTTCCCATCCTGACTCGGCTTGGATGACAAGTCAGACTCTGCCAAGGACAGCCGTGAAAGCTCAGCCCTTTTCACAATTTGGAAACAAATTCTAAATCTAGGGTATCTTCTCTGGAGAACTGCATCTTAAAATTTAAACTTCTTTGGTTTCATTTGTATAAAATAGTCTTCACTAACAAATGATTTACTAAAATACATATTCCTTGGTACTTACCAGGTAATGGCAGAATGACAATAGCAAACTTACCAAGGATGGAAAAGTTCCCGATATTTGATGCTGAGAGTAGCAGTATTTCTGACTGTATATTCATTTAACTGTCAGAGTTGTTTTTATGGTAAATTATATTTTTCAGAAATTAATAATACAAACTTTGAGTCTCATCAAGGCTAGAAACTTAAACTGTAAGTTCACTATTAACATTTTAAGACCATTTCTAACATTTGCAAAGCAAGACTTTTAAAGATATACCTGGGCGATTTTATTGTTACTTAAAATTTTTATACCGGTTAATAAACTTACTGTTCACATTTTTAAGAGGTCTTTACTTATTTGGCTAGAGAATACCCAACTTTTCTGGGCTGGTTGGAGAATGAACAAAATTTCACCAAACACAAAATTTTAAAAAATCCTTCAGAACTGACAGGCATTCAGACGAAGACTATTAGTGAGAAAGCTATGCTGTATTTGTGGTTCCGGGGTGCGTCCTATCTTTGAACATATTGGAGTTGGATAATATCATTTTCCACCTTACGTATTTAGTTTTTAGTGCTGGCCACCTGCTATTTTCACAGTGAAGTATACTTTTGTTATTTCTGCTCTTGAGAAGAAGTTCATAGGCTAGAAGACTTAAGTATTAAATAATGGTTTTGAAAGCTTGTTATTAATTCTAACAGAGGCCAAGGAAACAATTCACGACTGAAACTTACAGTCCAAGGGACTAAGAGAGAACCAACAATTTTATTTTCAAAGTTAAAGATCAGAGTATTTGAGACCTCTTCAGTATTCTTTCTCAGTGAGTGTCATCCAGCTAGGCTCCTTCCACAGGCACAATGATGCGTAGAACCTAGAATTACTTAACAGACTGATTTTCAAAAGTGTATGTGGAAAGTAATTTGAACAAAAATAAATATACCAAAAAGATTTTACATACATACATACATATATATATGTATATATATATATACACACACACACACTCCCACTCAGGAAGGACTAAGGAAAAAATTAGAGATGGTGTCCACTCAGAAGGGGGGTGTGAAAAAGAAGAGATGCAGGAAAAAAAGAAAAAGGATCGAGGTAAACTATAACCACCTTACTCTCTTTTTAGGATCTTTATTGGGATGTTTTTATTTGCGAATGCTATAAATAACTAAGCAAGAGTACCAACAGCAATAATGTAGCATCATATCTAGGTATGCATAAAAATGATTCTACCCTCTAAGAATATTCTAGTGAGGGTTCATATAAATAACTCAAGTTGTTTAGAAGACAGAGACTTGGACATCTCATCAGTATTCATGGATGCTTGAGGTCTAATGGAATAAGGCCTCCAAACACTAAGGGAAAATATTTTTAAAGCTAGCTTTCTCTGTCAGCCAAGCTACCTACCAATAAAGTGTGAAGGTGAGATACATCCCTTCAGAGGTACAAGGGTTTAGAAGGCTTATTAGGGTCCTAAATAGGGTTTTTTTTTTTTCTTTTCATTTAAACATGGCAGGTAGAACATATATTTGCCTCCCAAATCCCAATAAACTTACAGCTAAAGGATTTTTCTTAAAGATAAAAAATATAATGATAAGAGGATCAAGAGAGAAAAAGCAGAAAAGCGATGGCCACCAGATTCTGGGACCAGAAAAGCAGATGGTTGTCTAATGAGAGAAGAGAAAGCCAAATGCCTACCAGAGTGAATCTGGGTCAATAATCTAATAGCTCCAACCAGAATAACAAACAGCAGTATGAGTGTATTTTCATTAACTATAAAAATCAATCCTTGAAAAAAAGTTGAGAGTGGTCACCTTTAGGGAGAACTGAGTGGCAGTGAAAGGGCAGGATGTTTTCCATTTTAGGCCCCATGTTAAAGTTTTCCTTTTAAAACTACGAACATGGATTACTTTTGTAAAAATGGAAATAAAAGTTCCAAGGAAAACTTGAAAATAGAAGTATGGTTGAAATGTGAAGAAAACTAAAATATGGAATGATTTTGAATTACTAGGGAAGAGGGGATGGAGAGAATGAGACAGAGAGAATACAATTTATCTTGACACCTCTTTGGATTGCATAAATTCATGCTATAAGATTGTTTTTTGAGTTAGTTACACTTATAGGATCTAACGTGAATAATATACTCTATAATCATAATACAGGTTTATTGGTTTCTGATCTTTTAGACTCAACCCATATCTAAAGCACAAAATATTCCATTATAATTAGGCTGAATGCTAAAAACAAACCAATCCAATCCAAACAAACAGAGCCCTTGACAATGTACTTACTAGTAATAGGAGGGTGTGGGAAGCTGGGGAGAACAGAAACGCAGAGTTGAGGGGTCTTGATTTCCTCATCCTAATCAGGGAGTCAAGGAATCCTGTCTGAAGCTGATGGCGTAAGAGAAGTTTTAGTAACTCAAAGAAATACACTGAACGCAACTCAGGAGGAGCACGGGTGGAGGTGGGAGGGGAGTTAAATGTCTCCTGTGTCACATCAGGCAGTTACTGTAATAGTAACAGCCCCGGGGAAGTACTCAGGGAAGCATAAGCAAAATGACTCATCACAGGATTCACTTGCATAACAACTCAGCAGAGCTGTTACTGTAATTTTTAACCACTTAGTAGTGGTAGAAAGCCTTAGCATTAGAGAAACTTAAAAAAGCATCTCTGAAATAATGAAAAAGTACTTGAGAGTGAAAATACACTTCAATTACAGGTGCATTTTGAGGAATTCTAGTGTATAATACTTGCCGCCGCCGCCAAGTTCCACTGGTATTGAGAACACTGAGCTAGGGCTTTTGTATGAGGAACATCAACATTCATGGGCTAAAGAGGGAAGAGAGTTCTGCTTTTCTTTTTTTCTGATAAAGAAAAGTGTTAATTGTGGGACATCAGCGATACATGTTCTGTCACTTACCGATGCAATTCTGCCAAGGCAAGTTAAAATAACTGAAGCTCAATTCCTCATCAGGGTTTGGTAAGAGTTATAATCCATGCAAAGCAAAGCACTCACAAATTTATAAAGACAAAGACAGATGGGAGTTCTTCAAGGACTCAAGCGGAAAGGGAATACATTCTTTAAATAATTCTCTTGTAAAAAACAAAAACACTGAGAAAGTATTCTTTTCCTTTGAGAGTTGTAGATTTTATAAAGCATCACATTTCTTAGGTCAAATGGTCATCTATTTTTGATCTTTGAACACAGGATAGATTTCAATGAAGCCTTACTTTAATGATGACGTATTTTGACGTATGAAGGTGTACGTGGTGAGGAAGGGTAAAGTAAAACACAAACACAGAGTTTTTGGCTCTCAGCTGCAGTTCCCTCTTCCTTTGCCCTTGCTTTGTGATACTGTGATGCTAACAGAGGGTGCTGGAATGACTCATAATGACAGGAGGACCTCGCCCTTCCAGCGAAGGTCCTATTATCCAGCATGGGAGCTGGGGGGGCGGGGGGGAGGAGGGTTCCAGCTGCAGCCTCCCCACACCGCCCAGCAATGGTGGGCTGCTTTGCCAGCGCAGCACCAGCTGCACCCAGTTTCTTCACCTCCAGCACGCTGTGCTCCGCCATTGGGCAGAGGAAAGGGCTGCCATTTTACAGCCAAAAGTTCCATTATCATCTTTCTTCCTTAGCCAGGGAGGCAGAGTGCAAGCCCAAGGCCAGATTGAGGAGGCGTATAATTAAACAGGGATGCCAAAAGACTGTATTCTTGGAGGAAAATGGAACCGGAAGTAAATCCACATCTGTTCCCTTCAACCTAAAGAATTGTGGGAGCATTACCTTGGCTTAATTCTGTCAGCACAGTCTGCTGTCCTGTGGATTTGTGCCCCCAATTCTCCTTACCAGGCTGGTCTTTAGAAACCCCATTGTTAGTTTACTTTAAAAGTGGTTCTAAACTTGGAAACTTCCAAACCTGGGAGAAAAAAAAAGAATTAAGACATTCCCAGCTTCAGAAGTAGCTGCTTACCGGAACGAAGTCCAATATATCTTAAAGAAAACAAAATCTAGAACTCAAAGGCAAGGGTCAGCAAACTACAGCCTACAAGTTAAATCTCGCCGCCAGTTCTTTTTGTATAGTTTTACTGGAACACAGCCACACCCACTCACTTAGTATTTATGTGTATGGCTAATTCCAAGACTTGACAACACTGTTTAGCTCACAAAGCCTAAAACATTTTATCTGGCCCTTTAGAGAGAAAACTTGCTACTCCCTGGCTTAGACCATTGATATTTAATATAATTATTGACAGGGTTGGATTCCAGTGTGCCAGGTTTTTATTTGTTCTTGTGGTTCTGTTTTTGCTTCCTGCGCGTCCCCCCCACCCCAGTCACCTTCCATTTTCTTTTGGATTATTTGAATAGTTTTTAACAATTCTATCTGTTGGCTATATATTTGGGTTTTTTAAATGGTTTCTCTAAGAGTTATATCATGCCTAACTGTTCAGTTTATTCGAGTCACTATTTTTCCTAACATTAGACTTCAGGTAAATTGGGAAAGCCTTATGGGAATAAACTGAAGGGGTTCTGAGGCTGAATATAAAAATGGACCTTATATGACAACAAAGTGTGACCCACAAACTCTGCAGCAGCCAGTTGAGGTTGCCAAATGAAACCTCGGTTAGCAACCCACCCAGAGTGGCCAGGCCTCGGTCGATGCCTGCCAACATCCTGATATTTTGTCCAAACTCGGGACCAATCAGAGTAAGCCAACTATGTTCCTCCGAACGATCACCTAAGATGCCTGCTGCTAGCTGGCCAGGCCCCAGCTTCCTCATGCCCATGACTTCCAAACAGAGCACGCCTGAAGCTTTGTTTTCACTATAAAGCTTTCCCATCATAAACTTCTCTCTACCTGTGTCTACAAAACGCGAATAGTCGTGGCAGACTCTCTTGCTGTAGCAAGCCCGCAAGAAACAGCTTGTCCTCATTTCTGAGTGGTTTTTATTTCCACAACCCAAATATTCAACATAATAAATGTGATATAATCATATATTACTGTATAAAAATGAACTACAGCTACACACATGAAAGAAAAAACACCAAAAAATTGGTGGTTTCATTTAATTTCCTTAAATGCCTCAAGTCAAAAAGAAAAACAAGATATTCTCCTGGGCTTTGCAGACTGGCTGAATTGGGGCTTGTTCAGCATTGAGCCGATGACTTACAACTCTGCTTTATCTTTCGCCTTCTGTACGTGAAGCTTACAGATCAGAAGGAGAGGCCTGGGTTCCTGCCAGGTCTTTTCCGGAGCTCGTGCCGTCTTGGGCATGCAGACAGCCTTCGAGATTCCCCGATTTACAGGCGTCCTTCAAAGCACCTTTACTGTGTGCCGACCCCCGTGTATCTTACTCCCCAGATTTTTCAGTCTGTGTGCCGTCCCTGACTCTGGGCAGCTGCACGTAATGTTTTTAAAGCCCCTGAGAGTTCAAAAGGGGTAAAACAAAGGGAAACTTCTGGATTAAACTCTCAGGGAAATGCCAGACAGGTCAAAACAACGTTGAGAGAACCAGGTGCTCCCCTGGCACCCCCTAGCCACACCAAGAACGCCAGCTGGTATCCCCAGTGCGGAAAGGAAGACCAAAAATCTTCCATACAAAATGTAGTAACCTCTTTCTTAAGCAATCCTCCGGTTGTCTTAATTATATTCTAGAGTTTCAAAAATTAGATTCTAATAGCATTTGCCAGCTTCATAGTAGGCTCAGTAAAGGGAAAAGTCTTTGGAGCTCCCTACTCCACCATTTCTGTGAATGTCACTATGCTGCATTTTACAAAGATGACACTTTGGAGATGGAGGCCGCCAGGGGTCGGAGGAAGGACGCCAGAGGGTGAGGAGTGGCAACGGGCCGCATCCCCGCGGTGTTGGGACCGCTCAGGCTCTTGCCTGTGGTAGTGAATACGTGTACCTGCACAGTGATAAATTATTTAGAACTAAATACACGCGCACCAATCGGTACAAGTAAAACCGGGGAATGTGCAGAACACTGGCGGGTTGTATTGATATCCTGATGTGATAATGCTGTAGTTTTATGAATACCGAGAGGAGGAAAATATTGGAGGAACAAGTGTACAAGGGACCTCTCTGTATGTGACTCTACAATTATCTCAAAAATAAAGGAAAAAAAAAAAAGGTAATTCAGAAGATTGAGATTTAAGATGAGGAAGTTTTAGAAATACATTATTCAACTTATTTTGCTTCTCCTTTTTACATGTCCACAAGTCATAGATAGAAATTTACCTTTAAATAAAGCTCTTTTAATAAGTAAAATGAAAGTCTCAAGAAAGCACCACAGTATAGTGTAAATACACTGATCTTTATTAGTGGCACATAAGAAAACTGAGCATCTCACAGTTAATGGAAACTTAGGATCTGATGAGTTACGTTATGTCTGCAATGAGGTTTACTTAACAGGTCCATTTTGGCTCATGTTGCTAGCTTTGGTACAAACCATCAAAATGTCTGTAATAAGCAACAGTAACTAGCAGTGTAAAGGAGAGATGGAGTCAAGCAGCGTAGAGTAATTATCCACATTTCCGTTTCCTATATGCATAAGAAAATAAATTCAGGAACAAGGGGAAAGTAATGTATGCAATTTTAATAAGAAATGAAACAGGTTATAAAATACTACCATTTAATTCTGTACACCAATACTTCAGTATTTTCATTCATTAAATAAAGCACATGTGACTCGAAATGCCAAAGAATGCTCTTAGTTTGTGACTAAATCCTCTAAAGAATAAAATGTTGGTGAAAACTTAAAATTGTTCAGTAAGGTATTAGGACATTGCTTATTTAGCATTTATCACAGACATCAAATAATCATGGTTAATACCAATTTAAGCATTTACAGAATCCTACCTAGGCCCAATACTGATGTATTAAATTAAAATATCACAGAAACTGGTATCTAAGGTACCAGATTATAAAGCAGATTTAAAACCATCTTTATCAAAGTTTTAACACTGAAACAAAGTTAAATGTACCTAAATGACACATGAAGCTCTTCTTGGTAATAGTACAAATTTTGTTCTATAGGTATTATAATTTTTAAGTTTTCTCCCTTATATGAAAGTACTGACAGGAAAATTTAAGTATGTTACAAGACATGGATTACTTTGTACATTCTACAAATAAGCATATTAGTTACTAATATATTAAGGTCATAAATCAAATCGTAGAGAAACTTTACTTTTATGTGTGTTACCGAGGTGAAGTCAGCCTACAGACACAGAACAGGGTAATAGGTATACACTTATTCTCTTACCAGATATTCATGTTTGTTGGAGGTGGGGGACAGGATTCGGAGATAGGATTATTGAAAGCACCAGGATTCAACAAATTTACATTTTATCAGAAGAAAAAGATTCTTACTCTTACAGCATCAATCTTCAGATTAAAGTGACAGTGTAAGGATACTTTAATGCTTTAGACAAGAATTTTAAGATAACATCAATGACCACCAAGTTTCAATAGAATTCCGTGATCAAAATATTTACTGTCCTTTTACCAAGCTTTTACAAACACACTCAGTCTTCACTGTCTGAGCAAATCAGTTTGAGCTTCTTCATAGTCCTCCATCTGTCTTTCAACATGACGCCTGTTCGGTTGTTGAATTTATAATGTAACAGTATTTTAGACCAGTTTCCTTCTCCGTATTTCCTCACACCAGATCTCAAATTCTTGTCTTCTTCCCAAAGCCATGCCTTATGATAAAATATACAACAGTTATTTACAGAAACAATTGTTTAAAGGACATACTTACTATAAATCCAACTGCTTTTAATCAAAATATTAAAGTTTCTTAAGGAGGAAGAATTTGCATATACATTTCTTAGATTTCTGTAAGAGCTTATAAGCTGTGGATCCATTTTCACAGACAAAGGAGGGTATACAACATTTTATATAACATTTCAGAGGCTACTTAGACTCCCCTTTAAAAAATCTATTGCTTTTACAGTCCCCAAGTTAAGAATTTCTGTTGTCTAAGAACTTGCTACAATTTTGTTTTTTTAAGTTTAATTTTATTTATTTTGAGAGATAGAGAGCAAGTGGGGGAGGGGCAGAGAGAGAGAGAGAGAAAGAGAGAGAGAGAGAGAGAGACCGACCATTCCAAGCAGGCTCTGGGCTGTGAGCACAGTGCCCAATGTAGGGCTTGAACTCACAAACCATGAGATCATGACCTGAGCTAATATCCAGAGTTGGACACTCAACTGACTGAGCCACCCAGGCACCCCAGTTTTGTTTGGTTTTAAAAAGTATCGGGGTGCCGGGGTGATTCAGTCAGTTAAGCATTGGACTTCGGCTCCGGTCATAATCTCATGGTTCATGGGTTCGAGCCCCACTTCGGGCCATGTGTTGACAGCTCAAGAGCCTGGAGTCTGCTTCGGATTCTGTGTCTCCCTCTCTCTCTGCCCCTCCTCCACTCATGTACCTGCTCTCTTTCTCTCTCCAAAATAAAAATGTAAACATTAAAAAAAAATAACAAAGAGTAGTCATTGGTTTGTGCAAATTTCAGATCTACACCACAGTTTTCTTGGTCTAATCTGAGCTAATTACTTCTAATAGAATGCACAGACTGTACCTGATACAATACAAAAGCTCAGTTCTCTTGAAAAATAAGTTAATATTCTCTGCCTGAATCCTGCTTAGGTTCCTGGGTGCAAGTTTAAACAGTATTTTCCAGTGGATCACATATAGCAGAGGTTAGCAAGCTACTGCCTAAATCCAGCCTTAGGCTGTTTGCGCTGCCCAGGAGCTAACAATGGTTTTTACATTTCAAAATAAGGTTTTAAAAGAAGAAAATAATATGTAACAGAAACAGTCTGCGGCCCATAAAGCTTACTAAAATATTCATTACCTGGCCCTTCACAGAAAAAGTTTGCCAACCTCTAACCTAGAAGTTATAATTTTGTCAAGTGAAGGTTAACTGAAAACCAGAGTTTTTAACATTAAGTATTTGTTTCTTCTATTGAAAAAGAGCAACTTTAATTCGATACATTATTACTCTGTGATTGCTTATGCATCTTCTGTTTGAACTGAATGCTTGGAATCTTCCAAACTTAATTTCATCTATGATTTAAAGGCAAGAGTCTTGACAAATATCATATGGAACATGTGGTCACATAGCAAATAATGACATACTCTTTAAAAGTTTAAAGAGACCCACTCCTACTTTCTATAAAAGGAGCTGATGCCACACTTGGCCTCACAGTGTCAGAGCAAAAAGAAAACACAAGGGCAGTACAATTATAATGGAGTCTACTCTTGCCCGACACGGGGCTCGAAACCACGAGTTGTGAGATCATGACCTGAGCTGAAGTCAGACGCTTAATCGACTGAGGCCCCCAGACACCCCAGAGTCTACTCTTTTGTTTCCTCTTTTTCCTGTCTTAATTTTCTACATCTGGCTTCTTGTTTTAGATTCCATTCATAATATCACATAGTAAACAAAAGAGTTTAAGATGACATTTTAGGACATAAAAAAATGTGTATTCTTTGTGCTGTTCTGTCCTTTGCAGTTTTTTTTAAAAATTTAATTTTATTTTTAAAGAGAGAGAGAGAGAGAGAGAGATGAGAGAGCATGAGCGGGGGAGGGGCACAGTGAGTGAGAGAATCCCAAGCAGGCTCCACACAGCGTGGAGCCCAATGTGGGGCTTGAACGCATGAAACTGTAAGAGCATGACCTGAGCCAAAGTTGGACGCTCAACCAACTGAGCCACTGAGGCGTCCTTGATTTTCTTGAAATATTATAAACAGGATCAATAAAATAATGATAACAACCCTGGTCAACCTGATCAAGCCCATAACCCCCCAAAATATAAAAAGCATATAACAAATTAAAATGTACTCATCATTTTCTTTCCTCTGGCTAAAATGTTTTTATATAACTTATATTTAAAAATCATATCATCATTTTTAATGTCTTTCAGAAGAAAAATCAATGTTCTACGATGCCTTAAAATGATACATTTATAGTACCCAAAACAACCCCAGTTATAGTAAATCCCATTACATACCATCTCTGGGAAAAAAAATCTTTGTGACATTTACTTTTATTCTTTAATAGAATAAATTTACAAAAGGAAGTCTCTTTTTCAACTGTGATGATGGGGCACCTCGGTGGCTCAGTCAGTTAGGAACCTAACTCTTGATTTCAGCTCAGGTTGTGATCTCATGGTCATGAGATCGAAGAGATCCAGGAGATTAAGCACCGAGTAGGGCTCTGTGCTGGGTGTGGAGCCTGCTTAAGATTCTCTCTTCCCTCTCCTTCTGCCCCTCCCCTGCTTGTGCACATGTGCGCTTTCTGTCTCTATCTCTCTCTCCCTCTCTCAAAAACTCCAAAAAACTGTGATGAGGCAGGCAGAAACACCTCTGTTTCACAGACAAATGCAGCAAGAAGAATCTGTCCAATCAGGTACAGACTACTGCAATAAAATTTTTTAAAGAACGTAAATGTTAACACAAAATAAGATAAAATCTGTCATTAATCTGAAAAAAACGGTTCCACCAAAAAACCAACAGTGGAAAGTTGAAAATAAAACAAGGCACTTGTAATTGCCATAGAATTCCTTTTTGGCAAAAGTAAACAGTGACAGACAATATCATTCATCTATGTTCTATTCTTTAAATTATGTAGTTGATAACCCACATTTTGTTTTAAATACAAAAAAAAGAAAAAAAGCTGTGTTTTTGATATACATTTATAAACAACACCTACAATCCCATTTAGAATTGTTGCCAAAGAACTACAGGGAAAGATCAATTAAAGGTATGAGGCAGGGGTGCCTGGGTGGCTCAGCTAGTTAAGTGTCCGACTTTGGCCTAGGTCATGATCTTGCCATTCCCAAGTTCGAGCCCAACATCAGGCTCTATGCTGACAGGGCAGAGCCTGGAGCCTGCTTCTGATTCTGTGTCTCACATTCACTCTCTGCCCCTCCCGGGCTCATGCTCTTTCTCTCTCAAAAATAAACAAACATTTAAAAAAATAATAAAAAAGTTATAAGCAAGATGGGGCACCTTGGTGGCTCAGTCGGTTAAGTGTCTGACTCTTGGTTTTGGCTCAGGTCATGATCTCACGGTTTGTGGGATCAAGCCCTGAGTAGGGCTCCATGCTGGTAGTGGGGAGCCTGCTTGGGATTCTCTCTCTTCCATTCTCTCTTCCCCTCCCCAGCTTATGCTGTCAATCAATCAATCAATCAATATGAGGCCAAGACTTCTACTTTGGAGACATATAAAAAGCTTGGAAATATCACTCCAGTTCTTCGAAGACAAAACCTAAACTGAGAGTCAACAACTCTTTGTAGATCCATTAGAGAATTAATGCCAGTAGGCAAACTGCTACCATAAAAACTAGAAAAACAAAAAGGTGGATACAGAAGCTCACAGCTAGAGCCAGTACTGATAGAAACACTTAACTATGATGGATGAAGTGATGGAGGCTCACTGTGGACAAGTTTGAGTTAAAAAGCCCCAGGTGCCCAACTCCAACTCACCTCCACCCAACTCCAGCCCCCTCTAAAGGAAATAAAGGATGAGAAGCACATTAGATGGTTTTAGCCCAGGATACAAACTCACTAAAAGAATTAGAAAAATCACAACACTACAGAACACTCCCCGACTCCCACATCTTTGCACAGTATCTGGGCCCCTGTTAAACGACTGCCTCAGCTGGAAAAGCTGCCTCAAATTCTTACTAAGGAGCCTCTAGGGAAAATCAAAGACAGTAAAGGAGACAAAAATAAGGAAATATAGGGAATACCTGCTTTTTCCTAGATCGACTTTTAGAAGTTATCGGCTGATTGTGCAAAATGTGTCTTCTCCTTCTTTCAGTGGCTCGTCTGTTTTTTTCCTTTCCTCCATCTAAATGTAGAAATATAGTCATTAAAAACTGTCACATTAAAATAAAAGGGGGATTATATTTTTAAAGGTTACCATGAAATTCCTATCTAGTGTTTAGCTATTTTAAATAGCTTAATTTTTTCCCCTTTGAATCTGGAAACAGCACAGTACAACGCAAAGAACAGTTTCTGAAAATCAGATGGGGTATTGAATGCTGATTCTTTTATATGTCTTTAAACAGTTATTTTACTTCCCAGAAACATTTTTCATATGTTTTTAAAAAAGGAGTATATTTATCTTATAGGATTGTTGAAATTTACTTAGGATAATGCTTAAAGAATATTTGACCTAGTGTAGGAATTGTAACCCCTTCCTCATTCTTTGTCATTTATAGTCACTTTAGTAAGACAAAAATAAATGTACGTGTTACTGAAAAGAAACAGAATGGTTAACTATTGAAAGAAAATTGTTTATATAAAAAAACTGAAAATATCTACAAATAAAGAGTTTAGCAAGATGGCTGGATATAAGATCATTAAACAAAGCTCAATAGTATTTCTGATCATTAGCAACAAAATAAAACAAGCAAAATAAAATATTTATAATAATAACAAAAAACACAATATTCTTATATATCTAACAAAAGTGGTCAAGAACTGTATGTATGTAGTAAATTATAAAACTTTACTATAGATATGTATATATACACTACACATTATAAGAAAATATATATATAAGACAACCTAAATAGAGAAATATGCTGCACAGGAAGACTATATACTTATTATAGTCTATAACTAAAGTCTATAATTAATACTAATATATACTAACCGTGTCTGTTTTTTCCAAAAATATCTATTTTTTACAATGGAATTTCATTTCTTAATGTATTTTTTAATTAAAAACTGTTTTTAAATGTTTGTTTATTTTTGAAGGAGAGGGAAACAAACACAGAATCCGAAGCAGGCTCTAGGCTCTGAGCTGTCCACATAGAGCCGGATGCCAGGCTAGAACCAATGAGCTTTGGGATCATGACCTGCACTGAAGTCGGACACTTAAACCGACTGAGCCACCCAGGTGCCCCCAAAATATTTTTTTCAGGTTTACTTATTTATTTTGAGAGAGAGAGCATGCGAGCCTCTGTGAACGGGGGAGGTGGCAGGGAGAGAGAATTCTCACAGTCAACACAGAGCCTGATGTGGGGGTCCATCTCACAAACCATGAGATCATACCCTAAGCTGAAATCAACAGTCAGATGCTTAAGCAACTTAGCCACCCAGGTGCCCCTACAATGTAACTTCAAGTAAAACTTTTTAACAGTTCTAAAGAACTGTAGAACTGTTCTGTAGAACTTTACAAGATTATTCTAAAATTATATGTGTTATATAAGAAGTGGTCCACCACTGGCCCTGAGCACTGGTGTAGTTTTTGCTGAATGATAAGGCTTCTTTGTTTCCTGATGTGAAGCAACTTTGTAGTCAAATAAGCACCTATGTAGGTCAAAGGAACCATAGTCTAAGCACCATGTAACTACTCTCTCCTGTGGGAGTGTTGGGGGGCGGGGGCTACTTTGTTTGCTATCATGTTTTGTTGCTTATTCAAAAAGTGGTAGGCTCTTGGCATCAAGTTCCTCAGCTACAGTACAATCTACTGCCTGCACAGCATCTATCTGGGGCCATTACGCTGCCTACGGGACGTGATAAAGGAATAGTGCCACTAGGCTATCTGCTGTGCTATAATGTGTAACAAACTGTTTAGCTCTGACTTGTTAAGGCTACGGTCTACTTTTGCACCTGCAGAATCCTCTATGAAGTTGGGTTTTTTCCTCACATCGCAGAAGACACCAAGAATAGTCAAAATATTCCTGAAGAACAGTAAGATGAAAGGAATTGCTCTATCCCATAAAGAATTGTTATAAAACTACAATAATTGAGACAATATGGTATTAGGAACAGATCGTATGTGCTGGTCAGGCTCCAATCAGGAAAATGGAAACCACACTAGTTATGAACAGAGATTTTCCTATTGCAAATTGTTTAAGCAGGTGCTAGAGGACTATAAAAACAAAGGAAATTAATAAATTAGCAGAGATCGATAACTAAACTAATCCTTCAGTTAGAGGTCTCAATATTCTCTCTCAGTAACCGGTGGAACAAGTAGGCAAAAATTAGCAAGCATATGCAAATCGGAACAGTACTATGAACCAACCTGACCTAAATGACATTTTACAACACTCCACTCAACAACAGAATTCACATTCTTCTCAAATGCACATCAACACTCACCTAGACAGACCATATTATGTACCATAAAACAAATCTTAGTTTAAAAAAAGAGAAATCCTACAAAGTATTTTTCTCAGTCCCAAACAGAATTAAATTGGAAAGCAATAATAGAAAGATTATCTGGAATACCCTTCAATATTTGGAACTTAAAAAAGTAACCCAGACGTCAAAGAAAAAGTCTTAAGGGAAATGAAAAAATATTGTGAACTAAATGAAAAAACAACATCTCAAAATCTGTGGGATGAAACTAAAGCAGTAATTAAAGGGAGAATTTATAGCATTAGATGCACATATTAAAAAAGATCTGTGAATCTAGGAATAAAAGGCAATTCATATACAAAGTGGGGAGAAAGTCAGGCAGCAGCACTTACAAAGTCAAAAAATAATGGATCAATATCCGTAAAATTATAAAAAAAACTATTTCCAAAGAATATTATATTTAGCCAAAGTTCCCTTTAAGCAAAACACACTACCCATTGAAGATACAGAATAGATTCCTATGTCAATGGTACTGTAGTAACACTGGATGGGGACAGAGGGTAACGGACCCTAGGTGAGCATGGCGACCCTAGGTGAGCATGGCGTAATGCAGAGTTGTCATAATAACTATGCTGTACACATGAAACAATGTAACATTCTGTGTCAACTATACTTCAATTAAAAAAAAAAGGAGCATCTTTCACTTCAGTGAGGACAGGAGCATGGGTCTGTCAGGGATTGCCACTTGAATGAAGAGAGTCAGTCTGGAGGGGAAGCCAACAGAGGAAAGTAGAGCTGCTTCACAGAGGAAGCAGGTCTGATGAAAATGCTTGAGTAGCGGGATCCAGCCATACCTTAAGGTAATGTATACCTCAACTTATGAGTGAGCAAATTCCCTTTCTCATCCCAAAGAGAAAAAAGAACAGACATTCTCAGTGATGTAAACATTTAGAAATTATAGTACCTATAATCTTATCTTTAAAAATCCACAGCCAGGGCGCCTGGGTGGCTGAGTCGGTTAAGCATCCGACTTCGGCTCATGTCATGATCTTACCGTCTGTGGGTTTGAGCCCTGAATCAGGCTCTGTGCTGACAGGCAGCTCAGAGCCTGGAGCCTGATTCAGATTCTGTGTCTCCCTCTCTCTCTCTCTGCCCCTCCCTTGCTCATGCTCTGTCCTTCTCGGTCTCACAATAAATAAAAATGTTAAAAAAAAAAAAAAAAAGTAAATGCAAATATATTTTAAAGTATATTTAAATATATATTTAAAGTAACCTGATCACATTTCTCTAAATTTTTATTTGGCTATCTATTCTTCCATTGTAGTCTAGTCCAGCAATTACAGGAATGGGCTCTTAGGTCAGAATGTCTAATTTCACCTGTCTGGCTCAGTTGGTAAAAACATGAAACTCTTAATCTTGGGCTTATGAATTCAAGCCCCACATTGGGTGTAGAGCTTCCTTAAAAAAGAATGTCGAATTTCAAATTCTAGCTCTGTTCACTATTTCTGTGACCACGTGCTTTTAATTTCTTTTTGTGTCAGCTTCCCCATCTAAAAAAACCAAAACACTTGTAAGATTGCCGAGGACTAAATGAATTTACACATGGAAAGCTTTTAATTCAAATATTAATCACTACTAAGTTTTTTCTGCACATAAAGAATTTAGGGAATTTTCTTTCAGTTTTCTGAATCGCTTGATTCTTTGAAAGTACATGGCAATCTTACAAATCTGGTAAAAAATGTTATTAAAGGTGTTTTAAAACAATTAAAAAAGAAGGGAGGCTGGGTGGCTCAGTAGGTTGAGCATCTGATTTTGGCTCAGGTCATGAGTTCACTGTTGTGGGTTCGAGCCCCACGTCGGGCTCTGCGCCCACAGCCCAGAGCCTGGAACCTGCTTTAGATTCTGTGTCTCCCTCTCTTTCTGCCCCTTCCCTGCTCATGCTCTGTCTCCATCTCTCAAAAAATAAAATAGAAAAAAAAAAATTTTTTTTAGAAATGCACATTCTGGATTATTTGCCATTGAAATCAGTAAAACTTTCCTTAAGAAATTTTAAAAGAAACTGTTTTGCCCAAACAAAACTAATATCCTGTAACTATGAAGAGAGGATACTGCATACTTTTTAAGCAAACTGGGATGTAAAAAAAAAAAAATGTGTATGTACGTATTAGTAACATCTAACAAGAAGTCAAGAAATGTACAAAACCTCACAAGATCTTCTAGGCTCAATATCCATAGTCACTGTCAAGGCATTCTGCAATGAGGTTATTTATTTACAGTTCTCAGAGTTTAACTACTGATCAACTATTTAGAATGTAAAAAAGTAGATGTTCCCATTTCTTTGAATTTTGCATTATGTAATTAAAAGTCCAGAATCCCAAGTTATTTTAGTTGAGAATTATGATTCCTAGCTATTTTGTAGCAACAAAATTATGCAGACCCAGAACAATTTTGGAACAACATGAGCAAGTATTTCTTGGAGTTTAGCTTTGCCATCTTTAAGATGAAGATGATATTGGGGCGCCTGGGTGGCTTAGTCGGTTAAGCGTCCGACTTTCGCTTAGGTCATGATCTCGCGGTTCGTGGGTTCGAGCCCCGCGTCGGGCTCTGTGCTGACTGCCAGCTCAGAGCCTGGAGCCTGTTTCAGTCTGTGACTCCCTCTCTCTCTGACCCTCCCCTGCTCACGCTGTCTCTCTCTCTCTCCTAGAAATAAATAAAACATTAAAAAAAAAGTTTAAAAAAAAAAAGATGAAGATGATATTAATATCTATGAATGTAAACATTTTAGAGATGTAATTTACAAATATTAGTTAATTCATCAGCCATCAGCTATGAATACATTTATCCAATTAGTAATTATTGCAGCCGTGCTTTGTCCCTGGCATCAAGCTGGCACATCTACTACTATTATATTGATCAGCTAATAATATTGTGGAGCAACAGTTTAAATACTTTTGCATTCATTCATACAGTACCTAGCATATACTGTAGGCTCAATAAACATTTGCTGAATAAATATATACCAAGGAGAAACTTACAATCAAATTGTTATTTAAATAATTATGGATTGCTTTTAAGATTTCTTTTTTTTGTAAACCAACTTGACAATAAACTATTTAAAACAATTTCTTTTTTGATTATTGTTACTTATTCTTTAAATCTAGTGATGCCTTTTACGAGAATAAATTCTAAATGCAGTTAGGAGGGTAGCTAGATTCCATAGTCAATCCTCATTATTCATGGGTTCTGTAGTTGTGAATTCACTTCCCTGCTAATTATTTATTAACTCAAAAATCAATACTCAGAGTGCTTTTGTGGTAACTGCAGAACAACAAAAAATTTAACTCTCCTGAAGTTCCCAGCTGGGTTAAACAAGGTGAAACTTTTTCATGTTTTAGCTCTCGTGTTATAAATAACTGTCCTTTTTACAGTATAATCTAATGTTACATCTTGGGTTTTTGGGTACTTTTGCTTTTTAAAAATGGCCCCCAAAAGCACTGTGGAAGTGCTGTCTAGTGTTCCTAAACGCAAGAAGACTGTAATGTTCCCGATAGAAAAAATATGTGTGTTAGGTAAGCTTCATCCAGCATTAATTACAGGGCTACTGGCTGTGAATTCAAGGTTAATGCATCAATATTATATATTAAATAGTGTCTTTAAACAGAAACACAGAAGCATACTGAACAAGGTTATTTATTTCCCAAGTGACAAAACTGTGGTGATGAGAAGCTCAAAGTAATCTGGTCTTGTAATTCCCCTGTAATGGTTCAGTATTCACTAATCATGGTGACTTCATAGAATGGAACCACCATGATTGCAACGTACGTTTCAGGTAAGTAACTACCTCAAGTTGCTGAACAAAGTTAAGGAGAAAAGCAGTGTACCATCATAGCAAAAGTACTCTAAGCTAGGCAATCAGAATGGCTCACTTTCTAAATTAAGCACTAACTTTCTACATTAACTCTATGAGGTTATGACATTGAATCCTCTGTGCTTCAGTTTTCTGAAGTGTGTCTGTGTGGTGTGGCAGGGAGGTCAAAGGCTGGATTACTTTCAAAGACACCTCAATTCTCCACTTTTAAAACTGTAAAGTGTAAGAATACTTACTTTGAAGAGTTTCCACTCTTTCCTCTTTCTTATTAAAATCTTGTCGGCTTCCGGGTTTCCACTTAGATAGAAAGAGATTCCTGTGAGACCTAAATTAAACATAAAAGCATGGGATTGGTTCCACAATGACTAGAAAATCTATAAAAAGGGTAGATGATCTGTCTTAATCTCTGTTCTAGTACATTCTACTTTGGCCTGTTTCCTTTGATGTTCTCCTTGCTGAGTGCCCCATCTTAATCTTTGTCCTCTTAAGATTTTTGTTGTCTTCACTTCCTTCTCTTCCCATCACTTATTTTTTCCATCTTATCTACTTAGAAATCATGATTCTTTTGGCCTTCTAATTATATGAAGAAAAAAAAAATCCTCAGATTATCAGCTATTAACTTTCATTCTCTGTCATGCCTTTTCTTTCCCAAAAGAGAAATTCCAAAATTCCTTTACGCATAATGGCAGGTATCACTTATCTTTATAACTTCCAAAAAGAGCTTTTCTGACAGAAAGGCTGTTTAGACATACAGAATGTGGCCAAATTTTTTAACATCCCTGCAAAGTTGATATTATTTCCGTTTTATAAAGGAGCTAGTTTAGATGAAAAAATTCACCTAAGCCTAGGAAATGATTTTATCAGCACCTAAAATCTCTATTTTTACCTTTCAGAGGTAACCTGGTAATCCTTTCTCTCCCTTCCAAAACTTTCTATTGTGCTCTCTCGAATGCTATTTTCAATCTCTTCACTAGTTCCCCTACCTCTTCACCTTGTCTAAAATCTAGCTCCCCCTTAGGGAGAATATTTCTTTTCTTTGAGGTCTGCTCAAGTAGAGACTGGCTTAATCTTCTACCTTCTATGAACCCAGGGTCCCAGAGATGGGTCTCTCTACTTTTTATTTCCTAATGAATACCTGCTTCCATAGAAACCTTAGCCCTTGCAGATTCGTGCCACAGACATGTACCCACCATCTACCATTCTTCAGAATCATTCACAATTCTTGTGAACAAGTCCCATCATTCACAGATCTTTATTTACCCTCAAGTGATGCTTTTATCATGTTATTGAAGCATTCTCATGGATAATCCATACACAGTCCTGACCTCAATTCCAACGATCTCCTCCACACCAAATTAAAGCCTCCCACATGGTTTCTATTCAGCGTCCCAACTGCTCTATCTCTGAAATCATTCATGTAGACTTTCTGCTGTTTGAATATGTTAGACTGTATGTTATTAAGTTTCTAGTAAATTAAACACACCTTTTCAAGTACATTCATAAAATTAGAATTTGAGATACATCAGAAATGTAACCGTCCTCCCCTAGCAACAGATCCTTGTTTCTAGGCCAGAATAAGAGTTTATTAAACATCTGCTTCAAGTTCAAACACTCCCTAAATGTGTATACCAAAAATGGCCTTGTGGAAAAATGTGTAACCCAGGATCCCAGAGGCAAGTCTCTATAGTTTGGAATTTCAAGACATGTCAGGATCTTGAATATCCATGGAGGTAAACAGGCACCTGTAATATTCTCTACATCACACTATTTATATAACAGTTACAACATATTTAGGTCTGCATGAAGAGCCTCAAAGATTTTAAAGACAGAGAAGAATGTCAGTTTACTTCACCTCAATAAGGACACTGTACCCTCTGAGGATTCAGTTACGGCAGACTGTTTGTCAGTAGTAACACTTTGAAAGAAGAAAATTTGTAAAGATATAAATAAGCAAAAGAAACTCTTCACAAGGATAATACTTACTATAATCAAGTCATATCTCAATTTATACAAAACATCTTTAAAAAGAAACCCTGGTAACATTAGGACATACAGATAGTCCATTACAACATGGTAATTTTTCCCCAGATGTGAGTACCAGATATTAAATCAAGCTTTCATAAACATATGTTAAGCAGAATTAATATTGTAGTCAAGGATTCATGTCACTTTCAAAAACTCTCCCATGGATCTTCATGAATTCAAGTTTAATTTCTTGTCTTCCCCACCAGCCTCCAACTGAACTTTTTAACAAATCCATCCCCTGTGCTGAAGTTAAACTTAGTTTCCACAAATACACCATGACCATTTACACTTCTGTGTCTTCACTAGAACTGTTCTTTTCTCCTAAAATAACATTTCCTCCTCCTCCAACTGTAAAAATCCTAACTATCCTTCAAGGTCCTGCTCAATGCTCACCCCTCCTTAAAGCTACCATATCAACTTCTTTAGCATTTAAGTCTATTATTTTTAACAACAAACTAGGTAATGTCTGCTACTGTTCCTGTTTCATGTCTGTGCCCTTTAATGCCTCAAAATAGTTTAAAGATCTATCAGAGCAAAGTTGGCATCTACCTCTGATAACATGAAGGCTTCATCTTTTGTCCGATTTCACAATCACACTTCAGATTCTATCCTTGTTCACTTGTGTTCCGCTAACTTTTGTCCTCATATTGATAAATTTGATGTCTTATTTCTTATTTGTCTTGAGTCAATTTGCTTCTAGAATGGTTTTGATAACTGCTTGGTTCTTGATCTTTTATTTTGTCTCTAGTTTTAGTTTTGTTCCCTGTGTCTAGTGCATTGCAAATTCTGTTGTATGCCTGGTAATGAACTAAGTACCAAGGATACAAGGTTAATTAAGAACCTTTGAAGGATCCTCAATCTAGTGAGAAATACAGAAAGGTAAACAGGTATGTTACTGCCCAAGAGAAGTCCTTTTACAGAGATGTGACTCAATGCTGTGGGAGCACAGAAGTTACAACTGATCAGAGAATTGAGCAAAACACAGCTGATCTTTTAAGCTAGAACTTGAATGGCAAGTAAGGGCCTGCCTTGGAGAGAATAGAAAGGAAATTCAAAATTAAAGCAAGAGACAAGGCATAAAAAAGCTTGTAATATTTGAGGATCAGGACTAAGTTCTGTGTTGCTAGAAAGTACCATGTATGTGGGCAGGGAGAGGTTAATGTTTTGGAGAAGGTTGTATATAAAGAAAGCAGAAAGGGGGGATGTAAGGCTTTGCAAGCCATGCCAATAAATTCTAACTCATCTATAGGAAACAGAAAGCCAAAAGAGATTATTAAGCTGGAAAGTGATTTAAACTGATTTATTTTTATAGGATGCTAACTCTAGAAATCATGTCAAGGATGGATTTGTATGGTACAAGCTAAGTAATAACCTAGGATACAAGTGATAAACAATGTATTAAAGAACCATGGAGATGGGATTCATAACACTTGGCGAATTAACTGGATGAATGAGGAGAATCAGGGTAGAGAGACAGATGACAATATCAAGAGTTCTGTTCATATACAATGATTAAACTGTGTCATGTGTAAGAGGGCATCTGAAATAAATGGATAGTACTAGGTGAGAGGAAACGTGTTCATTATCTGCATGAATCATGGCAAGTTTTCATGATTTCAAAGCAGTATTATCCTGGGCAAGAAGGCTAGGCCAAGAATGTATTGGGCCTTAGTATTTTCACTAAACTGTAATATACTAAACAAAATAAAATAAGTGAGCCAATAAAAATGAAAGATCTAGGAGTGTCTGGGTGGTTCAGTGGATTCAGTGTCCAACTTTGGCTCAGGTCATGATCTCATGGTTTGCGGGTTTGACCCCACATCAGGCTCTGTAATGACAGCTCAGACGCCGGAGCCTGCTTCACATTCTGTGTCTCCCTCTCTCTCTGCCCCTGCCCCACTTGTGCTCTATCTCAAAATTAAACATTAAAAAAAATTAAAAGAAAAAAAGAAAGATCTGCTTCTCAAAGTGGATCTTAGAAAATAATACTTTAATGGAGTTTTTAGGGAGATGAACCAGTGAGGGGGCAGATCACACTGATAGGTAGGGACAAGGAGAAACTATAAGACAACTAAGCTTAGTCTTAAGGTATAAGAAATGCCATGTCTATCCAACTTGAACCCCAAACCCTATCTCTAAATACGTAGTTAAGATGAAGAACCTGAAACACTTGAGTGAGTCTCCCTCCCTCCAAATGAGTGAAATTATATCCATTCAGAAACACATCTACCCAGAGACCACAGGATATGACTATTTGGCCATGGATCAAGGGTGGAAGAATAGAGGGAATGGACCACGGGTTCTACTTTATAATGGTAGAGTATATCTTCCTCAATAAGGTTAGCTCCTAAAGCCAAGACAAAAGGTAAAAATTACCCTTGAAAATCTAAGGGCACAATTTTGGAGACTGAACTTGTCTCTCAATATAGTAGTTCCCCCTTATCTGTAGTTTCACTTGCATAGTTTAATAACCCCTAGTCAACAGCATCTGGGGGCAGATGATGGTCCTCCTGAGGCCCTTACCAGCCGAACACTACATCACAGGGCCCACGTCATTCCCCTCACTTCACCTCACCACCTACGCATTTCATCAGCTCACACCGGCACTGGAAAGGGAGCTGCAGTACATGAAGATGTTGAGGCCACACTGACATAACTTTTGTTCCAGTAGATTACTGTTGTTCATCTCTTACTGTATCTAACTTGTAAGTAAGTTTTATCATAGGTATGTATGTAACGACAGAAGTACAGCATATTTAGGGTTTAGTACTTGCTGCAGATTCGGGCCTCCAGTGAGGGTCTTAGAATGTATTCCCGCGGATAAGGGGGATTACTATGTGTAGGACTAACACAGCCTGTTTCCCTCCACATTGGAGCAAATCCCAACTTCTTCAGTTGAGCACCATATGAAGTGGTAGCTTATGCTTAAAGATGTAGGAACAGTATCTTAAAATACTAGAATAACCCTCAGGAATAGTGAGTCACATGATGAAGGCATATGGGATCTGAGAACTAAGGGGCTCAGATGATTCAAGTTTCCAACTTCGACACTGTTCCAGAACACACGTTGCCTGAGAATGGTAAATGGCATTACTCACACTATTTAAACTGTGCTATTTCCGCTTAACACATGAAACAATGTGCGTAAACCATGAAGTAATTGTATAGTACTCCAAATATCCAAATGTTATCAGTAAATCGTACCCTCTATAATAATAATTTTCGTTAAAAATGGCTCATTAGCAACACTTTCTTAAAAACATATTGTATCCATGAGACAAAAAATATATTAATGAATTTACAAACCTTTTCTCTACATCCAAATTAGCTTCGGTTTCCATTTCAATATTGTTACCATCAGGTTTCTCTTGAGAAGTTGTTCTTGCTCTTTTACTTTCCACTACTTTTGCTGCTGCCTTAAAAAATGGGGTTGTGAAAGAGGAAGGAATCCATGAAGCCATTCTGAACAAATAGCATTAAAATTAAGCCTTCTAATTCTCTGACAGTCATAACCAAAGTGTCTGTTCACAGGTCAATAAAGGGACTGCGCTGTATTTTTCTCCAGGAAGGAGGACATCAATAGCAGCTGCTTTAGTTATCTGCTTGGTTTTTAGGCCTTACAGAGGTCTTTCCTTATACATGTATTTGGTATACACAGAGCTTGCTAGGCAATTTTAAGATAAAAGGTTATTTTTTTTTTTAAATCAATAAAAATTCCAGATATTTTAAGATAAAACTCCCTTAATTAGTGCTCCACTGAGGATAAAATGTAACAAAAAATTTTTTTAATTTTTTTAAATATTTGTATTTATTTCTAGGAGAGAGAGAGAGAGAGACAGAGAGCGTGAGCAGGGGAGGGTCAGAGAGAGAAGGAGATACAGACTCCGAAATAGGCTCCAGGCTTTGAGCTGGCAGTCAGCACAGAGCCCGACGCGGGGCTCGAACCCATGACCCACGAGATCATGACCTAAGCGAAAGTCGGACGCTTAACCGACTAAGCCACCCAGGCGCCCCACAAAAAAATTTTCTTTTAAAGGACCTTCTTCAGGGGCACCTGGGTGGCTCAGTCGGTTACGGCTCAGGTCATGATCTCGCGGTTCATGGGTTCGAGCCCCACTTTGGGCTCTGTGCTGACAGCCAGCTCAGAGCCTGGAGCCTGTTTCGGATTTGTGTCTCCCTCTCTCTGACCCTCCCCTGCTCACGCTGTCTCTCTCTCTCTCAGAGAAATAAATATAACATTAAAAAAATTTTTTTTAAGAAAAGGACCTTCTTCAGTCCAATTTTACTTTTTATAAAAACATGCAAAAATTTTCTTTAACTTACTTTTCCTTCAACTTTTTATTCTGAAATTTGCCCAACTCTTATTTGAAAAAGTTTAAAAGACATTGCAAAGATCACTGATAAACCCTTTAGGTTCACTAATTGTAACATTTATCCATTCTTCTACAAAATCATTAAATAAGATTCCAATTAGTTTTTAAGGATTTCTATTTTAAGTATTCTCCTTTATTACAACAATTTCTCCTCAGTTTATTGTTAGAGTCTCTCTGAAATATGCATACCTTCATAAGAAAGGCTGATGATTTTTCACTTATTACACAATTCACATAACTCTTAATTTTCTCCATCATGTGGCTGTAGCTGAAGTGTTGAAAAATGGAGTGGAATATATCTCTCTGAGAGATTACCATAAGCAATTTCCTTTTTAAAGACTAAAGAAAACAGGAAAAATGTATTAACACATACATCACAAAAAGATACTAATTTCGTCACTTTAATTTAAAAAATCATATTATAAACTCAGGGATACATGAGAACCTAAAAAATTATGTTTTAGGGGTGCCTGGGTGGCTCAGTCGGTAAACGTCTGACTTTGGCTCAGGTCACGATCTCACGGTTCATGGGTTTCACCTTGCATAGGGTTCTGTGCTGACAGCTCAGAGTCTGGAGCCTGTTTGAGATTCTGTGGCTCCCTCTCTCTCTCTGCCCCTCCCCTGGCTCATGCTTTGTCTCTCTCTGTCTCAAAAATAAAGTTAAAAAAAAAATTCTGTTTTAAATGGCCTCCCAATATATTTTTTCTTACTTAAAAAAAAAAAACCTACTTTGTATTTCACACACATAACAAAAGGATTAGAAAATAAAATTATGAACCTGAATGTTCATTGCCAAGCTTATGGAAATAAAACATCATCCGAATAACCGAAGTCCTTGTTTACTACCAAAATGATTATACCTCCAGCTTCTCTCCTCAAGGTAACCATTATCCTGAATTTAGAATTTACCATATTCATGCATTCCTTTAAACTTGAACTATGTATGTATGCACCCATAAATGTATGGTACTGTGTAGCATATGTGTATTTTCTGAAACTTGTTACATTTTGCTCAACTCTGACATTTATTTATGTTGATTTTTTATAGAATTAGCTACTTTCACTGTTGTACAATATTCCACTGATCAAAAATACCATTTACTCATCCATTCTTCTAGCCTTTTGAAAGCAGTTAGAGGCTATTTTCTATTACTGCAATACTGATAAAGATTTCTCTACATGTCTTCTTGTGCACAGTACAATTTTTTCTTGGACATCAGATCTTTGAAGGCTGGTTGCACAATAAAAGCTATAGAGCCTTCAAAAAATTCTACTTCTCAGGCTCCATTCCAGATCAATTGTCTTAGTGGGGGCTGTTTTTGTTTTTTGTTAAATAAAACTTCATGGCTTTTAAAATGTGCAGTAAAAGTAAAAAGTTACTCTAGGGTATTTATCTAGAAGCAGAATGGCTAGAATGCATACTTCTAGATTTTGCTAAAATGCTCTCCTAAGTTTAAGTACTAATTTACATACACCACAGAGAGAAAGGTATGGCCGCATTACCATTTCTCTACTCTCTGGGCCAACTGTTGGTATTCTAAGATATTTTAATTGTTGCCAGTCTGAGGTATAGGAAATGCTATTTCAATATATTACTTGGGATTGCGTTGATTACTCATCAGAGTGAGGTTAAGTGCTTCTTCTTATGCTTTATGGCTATAAGTGAAGGTTTCCTCTTCTGTGAGGCAGAGTGGAATTTTCAGTAGCCTCATGGCGCTAAGGCAAAAAAAAGTGGGGACAGGGAACTCAATAAACATAATCAGGTTTTCAGCTGAGATCTCTGGAGGGTCACAGCCTAGGAACAGGGGCAAATTAGAGACAAACTAAGTCTAAATAAAACTACAACCTACTTGACTCCACTCAGTCCCTCAATGGATCAAGGTGACCACTTTTATACTCTATACCAGCATATGAAAAGGTGCCCAACTTCACTAGTCATGAGAGAGAAAAACTAAAACCCAATGTGACAGTACTACACATCTGCTGGCATACTAAAAGGAAACCCACAGAGAAGGTCTGTGAAGCAACTGGAACTCTCTCACACTACTGAAGGAACTGATATAACCACTTTGGAAAACAGTTTGGCAGTTATCTACTAAAACTGAGTACGTGCATACCTTATAACCCACCAAATCTATTCTTAAATATATACCCAACAGAAACACATACATTTGTTCTACAAAAGATGTGTAACAGGAATGTAACAGCCAAAAACTGGAAATAATTGAAATGTTTCTCAACAGTAGAATGGATAAGTTGCATATTCCAACAATGGAACAATGAAAATAAATGAAATATTGTTAGAAGCAACAACATGGGTCAATCTTATATAAACTTGCTATATGACTATATTATATAAAGTTTGGAAACAAGTAAAACTAATCTTGCATGTCACAAGTCAGGATCCTGGTTATCCTTGAGAAGGTGGGATGGTGACTGCAGGGTGCTGGTGATCTTCTTTTCCTTGATCTAGGGGCTCATCACACAAGCATGTTTCTTTTGTGAAAAGGCATCTATTTATATACTGATGGTACACGCATGCTACTAAAGGTATACTACTGTTCAATAAAAAGTTCACTGAAAAAAATATAATTACCTTATTTCTTTAAACAAGCTTAAGTTATTCCAACAACACTGTTTGTAATATTGAAAAACCAGTAAGTTCTACTGACTTTAACATTACGTTACACATATACACAAAAACTACTAGTGATCACATAAGAGACCTCCAGAAAAATAAACTATGTTTTTTCCTATATCTGTGCTGCCCAGTATGGCAGCCATCAGCCCCATGTAGCTACGGAGCCCTTGAAATAGAAGACCTGAATTTAGACAGAAGTATAAAATACACATGAGATTTTAAAAACTTCGTACAAAAAGGAGGCTGTAAAACATCCCATCAATACTTACTTATGTTGATAAAATGTTAAAAATTATGTTTTCGGATATACTGGGCTAAATGAAATACTAAAATTCATTTCAGTCGCTTCTTTTCAATTTTTTTAATGTGGCTACTAAAACACATATGTGACTTGCATAATTTTTCTCTTGGACAGCACTGTTCTATCTTGTCTAAAAGATAAGTTTAAAAGAAAGCATCCCTGGGGCGCCTGGGTAGCTTAGTCGGTTAAGCGTCCGACTTTCGCTTAGGTCATGATCTCGCGGTTCGTGGGTTCGAGCCCCGCGTCGGGCTCTGTGCTGACTGCCAGCTCAGAGTCTGGAGCCTGTTTCAGAGTCTGTGTCTCCCTCTCTCTCTGACCCTCCCCTATTCACGCTGTCTCTCTCTATCCTAGAAATAAAATAAAAATAAAAAAAAATAAATAAAAAATAAAAAATAAAAGAAAGCATCCCTTTCTTTCTCCATTGTTCTCTCCATTTTCCTCACTCCATACAGACAGGTTTAAAATTTCTGACTCTAGGGCGCCTGGTGGCTCAGCTGGTTAAGTGTTTGACTCTTGGCTTTGGCTCAGGTGACGGTGTCTGTTGGAGCCCTGTGTTGGGCTCTGCACTGAGAATGGATCCTGCTTGCAATTCTCTCTCTCCCTCATTCCATGTCCCTCCCTGGCTCGTGCACGCACCCTCAAAATAAATAAACTTCAAAACAAAACAAAAACAAAAAGAAAAGAAAAATAAATTATGATTCTAATTTAAGCAACTACCTCACAAGAATTCGAGTCATCAAATATTCTTTCAAAGACTTCTTCTGCTTCTTTAAAATTGCCATTTTCCATACAAACAGCTACAGCCTAAAAGACAGGATGACAAATACATACCTTTTTAAACATGTATAATTGCTGTTTAATATTGAAATAAGTCCTGTTAAATCTAAACTACTTCACTAAAAAATGTGATAAATGATATAAAATACCTTTTCAAAGATGAAATAACTGTGGTTTGAAAAAGATGTTAACAATTTTTCATTGGCCCTTGGCATATTTACATAAATGCCCAGCATTCTAGCTCTTTCAAATTTAGGCTAATTAAAAGCAGGCATTAAGGGGGGTCCTGGGTGGCTCAGCTGGTAGAGCATCTGACTCTTGATTTTGGCTCAGGTCATGACCCCAGGGTTGTGGGATCGAGCCCCACGCTGGGCTTTGCACTGAACATGGAGCCTACTTAAGCTTTTCTCTCTCCCTCAGCCCCCCTCCCCCACTCACATGCACTCTCTAAAATAAACGACAAAAAAAGCAGACATAAATAAATAAATTAGGAGCTACATTATGTACATTTAGGTCTGACCTAAATATTAATTTGAGCAAAAGGGAAATGAGAGAGGTAGTGGATGGTGTTTATGATGATTAGGATATGTAAAATTAGCTAGTTAGGATCCTTGAAAATCTCTAATAGAAACCTAGGAAGCCAGATGCTTCTGAATAATCACTTTATAAACTGGCCTTTCTGATATATTATGTGGTAAGATATGGGACTACCATTACCATCTGGGTAGCTTTGTAAACTTTGGCAAGCTATTTAACCTCATGTGCCTCAGTTTCCTGGTAGGTAAAGCAGTGAAAATAATAGTACCTATCTCATAGGACTGTTTTAAGGATTAGAGTTCTACATGAAAAGTGCTTAGAATAGTATCTGATGAATAGCAAGCAATATATTTGCTATGAATCTATGGTAGCCCACTCAACTTTACCCTAGTGTACTAATGATGGCTTGCTTCCTCTAGAACCCCCTCCAAATACTGGCATAACCTGACAAAGCTCTTTGTCCCAGGCTGAAATTCTTAAAAGTAGCAGTCATATTTTTGCCTGTTCTCTTCTGGTCTTAATTCTACTTGACAATCACCATACTAACAATAATTCCTTTTTGGGAAGGTGGGCTTTCATCTGGATTTTCTCTCCTACCCAACCATAAAATAATTTTCTAAAACTGAGGAAAAATGTATTTAACTGAAACAATCCTTAGTATTTGCTCTGCCTGTTAGCAAAACATAGTTCCCTGCCATTGTACTTTGAATGACTTTTTAGCTCCTCACTCTTTAACAGATTATTCCTAAAATTCTCTCTACATAGTTAAAATTTTACATTCCCTTATTCACAAAAATCTATTAATTTCTTATCAAATATTGTTTTTCATATTTGTAGTTTTTAATAGGAATTGAGACAGTACAAATTACTGATTTTTGAAAGCTGCTTTGTGATCTTTAAAATGGCGCCATATATTTTCTTGAGTGGGGTCTATGTGTGTGTATATACATATACACACACACACACATAGCAGTAAGAAATATGAAGTCCCAGCTCTTAGAGCTTGTATTAAAGAATGGAAACCAGAGGTCAAACGTCTGAAGAGAGTAAGTATATTAAATTTTACTTTGGGTTTACTGTCCAATTTCTATTAAGTGGCTCTAGATTGCTCTAGATGTTATATGCTTAGATTCTACCAGAATATTAATATTAATAACATAATATTCATACCTGAATTTTAATTAAATTCTGTATTTCTTCATGAAGTTTGTCATGTTCCTTGTCAATTGAGGCCCAAATCATCAGGGCTGATTCCAAGGGTGTAATTCGTTCATCACTTTCAAACTGTGCATCTTTTAAAACCAAAACAAAAATAAGTAACTTAGGAAGCTAAGTAGAACCTTACTTTGGCCAATTTTTAATGAATTCATCTCTTTAAATATTTATTGAATATATTCAGTATGTGCCAGGCAGTATTCCTGTACACAGCAATTTAGGTAAGTGATTTTAGTTTTCAAGTTAATTTCCTTTTCTTCTTTGAAAAATCTGAAGGAGCATTTAACTGTTAGCAGTTTCAACGATTTCTACTTTATGTCCTGTTGTCTTCTAATTGTTTCTTCAACAGTTTGCTTATTTATTTAATGTTTATTTATTTTGAGGGAGAGAGTAAGAGAGAAAAGAGAATGAATCCCAAGCAGACTCTACATTGTCAGCACAGAGCCTGATGTGGGGCTGGATCCCACAAACCGTGAGATCATGACCTGAGCTGAAATCAAGAGTTCAATGCTTGACTGAGGCACCCAGGCACCCCTCCAACATTTTAAACATAAAAATGTATTAATGTGTAGAGTAAGCCTCTTTATATTCCAGGCCCTGTGCCAGGTACTTAGGATATGACCTGGAAGAAGAAACAGTTCCTGCCCTTATGAAACTCAAGTGCTAATTATGAAGAAAGACAAATCGATGTGACTGGTACTTTGTTAGAATCATGTACTATGCCAGTGCTTCTCAGCTCTAGCTATACCTCACAATCATCAGAGGAGCTTTAAAAAACTACAGGGGTGCCTCTATAGAGTACGACTCTTGATTTCGACTAAGGTCATGATCTCAGTCGGGTTGTGAGATCAAGCCGTTAGTCAGGCTTCCCATTAAGCATGGAGCCTGCCTGAGATTCTCTCTTTCTGCCCCTCCCCTGTGTGGTCTCTCTCTCTCAAAATAAACAAACAAAATAAAATGCAATACCTAGACGCATCCTTTAGAGACTGATTTAATTAATTAGTACAGGGTAGAGCCCCTGCATCTGTATTTCCCAAAAACCCTCTAGGAGGGTCTAATGTATCTGAGGAATAGAATATCAACTCTACGAAAGGATACTAGAAGAGAATCCTTAATGAAATAGAAACAATCCAAACTGGAACGCTGAGGATAAACATGAGATGACACGGATGGGAGGGGGAACATTTCATGAAGGCAGCAGCAGAACATAAGGCAAAGGAGTACAAAAGATATTCACACTCACAGCCAACACGTATTAAGGTTGTATTATGTATTAGGCACTATGCTAAGCACTTAACATGCAACAGCTCCTTTGTCCACACAATTTCTTTAAAAGGGGATACAACAGTATCAACTTTGCCTTTTATAAAGTAGGATCTGAGATTTGGAGAGGTCACACAGCTAGCAAGTAGTAGAAGCAGACTCCAGAACACTTAAAAACCATTTAGTTTGTCTCAAAACAAGGTGTGTTTCAGGAATAAGAAGATGCCTGGTAAGGCTAGAGTACAAACTGGAAAGCACGAAATTGAAAACGCAAAGGCAGATTGCCTAATCTTTCTTTCTTAATTTCACATTTCTTTTTCTTTTAAAAACTCACTTCAGGGGCGCCTAGGTGGTTCGGCCATACAAGCGTCTGACTCTTGATTTTGACTCGGGTCATGATCTCATGGTTCATGAGGTTGAGCCCCGCAGCTGACAGTGTGGAGGCTGCCTGGAATTCACTCTCCCTCTTTCTCTGTCCCTCCCCTGCCTGCCTGTGTGAGTGCTCCCTTTCTCTCAGAATAAATAAACATTAAAAAGAAAATAAAAACTCACTTCAATATTTGTATTTCCTACTAAGCTTCTTGACTGACACTACCTAACCTATCTCATTAATCTGCCTTTCTTCTCATAAATGTGAGATGTAGGAGAAAAAAATGTATCAATGTTAAATCCTAACTTCAAAAATTTCAGAGGAGACTTTCACTTTCAGGCAGGATGTAGGATACTGCAATAGGCCAGCACTCCCAGTACAGCTAGAAAAAGGGGGGACAAATTGCAAAATCATGTTGCTAGAAACACTGGATAGTGGTAGAAGCAAAGAGAACTAGCTTTGCTTCATCTTCAGGGAGAGAATCCTTTTGAGGTGAGTCAATGATATGTGGCTTTTCTTTCCTGGCCTCATTTGCTCATAAGACTGAGGATTCAGTGAGTGCACTCCAGGCAGGGAGATTTTACTGGGGTAAGAGAAACGAGGAAAGCTTCTGGCGGTTTCCTGGGGGCTAGCTTGGTGGACTGGAAACTAGAGGAAATGAAAACACATGGCTGGTTTTCCCCTCAAGTCATTTGGTGAATTCTGGGGCAGTTCAGAAAGTTGGGGTGGAAAGGTAGGGCAGTCTCCCAGAGTTGTACAGAACTTAAAAAATAAACTCCCATGAGAGAACGGAACCTGCCATAAACAAATACCTGCCGTTAAGGACATCTGTCACACTGTAAAGCTATATGGGGCAGGAGACTAATGCCAGTATGGTAGCCACTGATCATACATCATTATTAAACAGTTAAAACATGGCTAGTTCCAAATGGAAATTGCTTTAAGTATAAAATATACCCAAGATTTCAAAGACTTACTGAAAAAAAAGGGGGGGGATAAAATATTTCATTAACATGTTTTATATTGATACACAGTTTAGAAATACTGGGTTAAACAAGATATTGCCAAAATTGGGGCACCTGGGTGGCTTAGTCAGTTAAGTGTCCGACTTTGGCTCAGGTCATGATCTCACGGTTCGTGGGTTCGAGCCCCGCGTCGGGCTCTGTGCTGACAGCTCGGAGCCTGGAGCCTGCTTCGGATTCTGTGTCTCCCTCTCTCTCTGACCCTCCCCTGCTCACGCTGTCTCTCTCTCTCAGAAATAAATAAAAAACATTAAAAAAAAAGATATTGCCAAAATTAAGTCCATCTATTTCTTTTCAATTGCATATACAGCTCACTTTATATTTCTATTAGACAATGCTGCTGTTGAGCAACCACTTAGGAAAAAAGCAGAAGAGTTTTATATATAGCTGAAAATCCTCCATATAAATTAGAATAAAATTTTAATTGCTGCCTCACTTGAGTCCATGATAGTGAAATACACTGATTCTTGACAATTGATATGTGCCTGTTATGTCTATGATATACCCAAACAGGGATCCTGGTGAACTGTAAACCACGGGGTCACACACACATTCTGCATTTCTTTCCAGAAACAAAGGAAAGGTTGGAGGAAGGGTTGTCTGGGAGAAAGGAAGATCTACTGAACAACTGCTGACACGTGAAACACAGGTGGGCACTTTAAAATATTCTGTCATATTTAATTTACAAAACAACTGTTAACAACCATGTTAACTTATCATCTGCATGGTCAGGAATTCTCTGATTGTGTCCACATCAAGATGTTTTTCTTCTTTAGCTATAGGCCCAGACTACCTAGAGTTCTGCTCCCCCATATTTACTCTGCTTCTGGTCCTATTCACTTATGGTCATGCATTAGCTGCAGACCCGGTCTCCCCCTCAGCAGGAAGCATGCTGTGTGAGCTGGAGTGAGGCAGCAAGGGGCCTGAGAGTGGTACTAATGCACTGGAATTTCGCCATCCTATGACAGCATTAGAAGTAAGCAGTTTCATGTTAAGTACTGCCTACCACTTAGCACTGTTGGGAAAGCATTTTGTAAATGGTAAAAACCAATACAAATATGTAATTATTTTTATCAAAAGGTCCTGTAAATGACCATGCTGTAAATATCATCTATTACTAATAAACTGAAGCAGGCTTGCCCATTACAATCTAAAATTACCTGTGGAGATAAAGGAGAGAGGTTTATAGCTACAAATCATATATGCCTATCTAAATAAGTACTAAAATCAAGTTCAAATAAAAGGTTTCAATTATCATAGTTGCTAGTAAAAAACAGAATGTATATGAAAGTAAGAGTCACCAAAGTTACCCTACAGTCAAATGTAAAGTGAAATTTCCAGGCGGTCCATGAAGCGTGGCTCCCCATGTGTCGGAATCACCATGGAACTTACCAGAAATACACACTCCAGGGCCCCTCCCATCCATCCCATCAGGAATTCAGGGCAGGGAAGGGGACTCAGCATTCTGTTTTTAAACAGGTGTCTGAATAACTCCGGAGCAAGCTAAGTCTGACCACCAGCGCTCTCAGGAGATCAGAACTAGGTTTCTCTGACTTGCTTACGATATGCTTAAATAGATGGACATGCCAAACACATCGTGTAAACTCAAAAACAACTAACAGCTCCCATGTGTTTCTTCTCATCGTTTTACCTTTAACACAGATTAAAACATTTTCAAAATAAGATAAAAACACATATTTACCAAGGGTTTTTCCTGCTGCAACTCTTGTCAAAAACTGACATATGTATATAGTTTTCAGCTGATAAGCGGTTAGACTCGACAGCCCATGAATAATAGCTGAAAAAGAAAGGCATGAAGTTTATTAAAACTTTTTTTTAAAAAAAGCCAAACTTGACCCAGCAGTGCCTCTCTGTGGTTGGTTGGGTAATAGGCTGTAAACATGCAAAAATCATAAATTGAGAGCTATGTTTTTATTTATAGACCATTTTTTTAAGTGAGAAAAATAGCAGTGAACGTTTTTCTTGCAAAATAAAAACAGATTTTCACATGCAAAATAATAAATATTTAAAAGTACTTCCACAGGTAGCGCTCTACACTAACAAAAAGGGGGATTTAGACTCAAACTGTAAAATGTGTCAAATCATTAGCTGGAAGTTTATTTTATACTTTAAAGCTCCTAACATTAAAGGAAATATTTTATATTATTTTGGTCAAGGTTTCAGATAAGTGAGTCTGTTAAATTTACAAAGAGTTAAAAAGCCTATTTCTTGGGGCAGGATGGCGGCAACGGGAGGGCCCTGAGTGCGACCATCTGCTAGACCCTAGGTCCCATGGCCTTTCCAGAAGGCCGTGTGGGTCCTAAGAAGTGAGTTCACAGCCCGACCCAACAAAAGCACGTTGGCTTTCTCGCCATGGCCATGGGGTCATCCTGAGAGAGCCTCTGCCTGGAGGGGCGGCAGCTCCTGGGGGGCTGCAGTGCGAGCGCCCCACTGAGGCACGAGGCCGGTCAAGCAGGTCTCGCTGTGCCCACAGGTGCGACATGGAGCACCGCAGACTTACAGGCAGGGGGCAATGCCTCCCCCAAGGCGGGGGGGGGGGGGGCGCTCTGCTGGCTGTTCTGTGCTCTCACCTCAGCGCTCCGCAGGCAGAGACGGCAGGGGGCGCACCAGGCGTGCCCCGCTGGCTGGGGTGACTGCAGCGGCAGGAGACTGTGCAAACTCCCAGGGTGCGAACACAGCTGAGTGTGGGGCCACAGGCCATGGGGAGAAAATCACATGCAGCTCATCTAAGAGGAATGTTCAAAAGCTGCCGCTCAGCTCTCACAGAACAACACTTATTCTGGAAATTCGAAGGGGCCGTCATAGACGTGCCCTTGGTCTTAACTGTGTTCATCAGTGACAGCTGGACAGAAAAGCTCTGGAAATATCACTACCTTTACTCTTTGTCAGAGGCCTTAGAGGTCCTATCGCAGACGCAGACCATAGAATTAACGAATTTGTGGCACTCCTTCCTGGGAACGTGGGGTGGCAACCTCCTCTCCGTCTCGTCTAGATATCACAGGAGCAAAATCGAGTAGAATAGTTCCTTTCCCTATTGTCATTTGGTTTGGGACAGGACGTCATGGGGCATACACGGAAAGGAGGCAGCAACTTTAGGCCTCAGTTTACCAACTACCTTTCCTTTCCTCTGCTACTTATTTAAAACTTTCAGGATACAATTTCAGCAACAACAACAAAAGATTATTTCTCAGCCAAAACCTGTTTCTCCTCAGCCCTAACCCGAAGGAAGAAATAAAACTGCAGATGTATAAAAACAAATTTATTAATATTAGTCCTGCAAATATTTGGATGCCGCCCCACATGTAATGCTAGGCAGTGAGAATGATGCTGAGTAAACCATAATCCTGGATCTCAGTGAGTTCATTACTATGTAGCAATGAAAGACAGATGATTGAAAAAGTGGAGGAAAGGAAAAAGACCAGAACAGAATGCTATAGATACATATAACAAAGAAGCCTTAGCGGGGCGCCTGGGTGGCTTAGTTGGTTAAGCGTCCGACTTTCGCTTAGGTCATGATCTCGCGGTTCGTGGGTTCGAGCCCCGCGTCGGGCTCTGTGCTGACTGCCAGCTCGGAGCCTGGAGCCTGCTTCAGATTCTGTGTCCCCCCTCTCTCTCTGACCCTCCCCTGCTCACGCTGTCTCTCTCTCTCTCTCTCCTAGAAATAAATAAAAATATTAAAAAAAGAAACAAAAAACAAAGAAGCCTTAGAATGTATTTTAGTAGTTAGTTGGAGGAAGGAGGTAGGAAAGCTTCTCTGAGGAAATTATATTTAAAGAAAGACCTGAAGGCACCACTGTTAACACTTCTCCCAGGGATAGGTTGGTGTGTATAAAGATTAAATCAACTAGCAAAACCAAAAAGCAGTCTTACAGCTACTAAGCAAATAAAAGACAAATACATTCACTTGTAATTATTTCCTCAATTCTAAAGTAGCATAATATTATGCTGTTCCAGAGATTATCTGGACCAAAAACAATTTAATTAAACAGTATTCAGAGAGAGCACAAAATTTATATAAAATTTAAACAGTTCAATATTTACTTTACAGCTACTGCTAGCCAATGTTAGTTTAACACACAAACCAAACGTTAAAATTTCAATGCTACGAATGTTAATAAGTATGATATAGGAGCAAAACAAAAGAATCTACTCTCTGCTAGGGAAGAAAGTCAGACCTCTATCTTCACCTCCCTCCATATTCAATTTAGTCCATATGCAATACCTACAAATACTGCTGCCCTTCTGTTCTTCGTACCTGCTAGTCATAAAACAAAACAACACAAAGAAAACCTCCCCTGGTTGAACCCGGCTATTTGCTTTTTCCTCACCTGTAACCAAACACTGTTGACAGAAACACACTAGGGAGATCTCCTGACTGGCTACAATAGCCACTGTACTTAAGCACTTCTAATATCAGGCACTACTCTAAGCACTCCACACCAGCGGTTTTCAAAGTGGAGTGATTTTTTGTCCTTTAGGGGACGTTCGGCAAGGTCTAGAGACAATTCTGATTGTCATGAGTGGAAGGGAGGGGCTTCTAGCATCTGCTACTTGTGGTCTGGGACTCTGCTAAATGTCCTACAATGCAGAGGAGAACCCTCACCTTCACCCCTCCACTCTCATGCATGCACAGAACAAAGAATTATGTAGTGCAAACACATAGTGTCAACAGTACTGAGGTCGATAAACCTTGCTTTATACCTATCACTTCATGTGTTTCTCTCAACAGCTCTGTTAGGTATAAATACTATTATCACCACTTTACACATGAAGAAATTGAGGGGCGCCTGGGTGGCTCAGTAGGTTAAATGTCTGACTCTTGATTTCGGCTCAGGTCTTGTCATGGTTCCTGAGTTCAAGCCCGCATCAGACTCTGTGCTGACAGAGAGGAGAATCCCTCCTTACACACACACACTCTCTCTCTCTCTCTCTCTCTCTCTCTCTCTCTGCCTCCTACCCCAAATAAAAAGATGAGAAAACTGACCTACCAAGAGGTAAGTAACTTGCTCAGGTCTAACAGCTATAAAGTACCAGAGCCAGGAATCAAACTCAGACAATTTATTCTGGAGCCCATGCCTTTTTTTTTTTTTTTTTAAGTTGATTTATTTATTTTGAGACAGAGAGCGAGGGGGGAGGGGCAGAGAGAGGGAGAGAGAGAATTCCAGGCAGGCTCTGCTGTCAGCATCAGCCAGAGACAGACTAGATCCTATGACCTCACACCTGAGATCCTGACCTGAGTAGAAAAAAATTAAGAGTCAGATGCTTAACGGACTGTGCCACCGAGGCGTCCCCTGGAGCCCATGCTCTTAATCACTATCTTAACTCCTTCCCATGGTGAGAGATCAGTTAGAAATAACAGTCTGGAAAAGGCCTTTCTAAGTTAAGTGAGGTGTGAGAACCATTGTGAGTCAGAATGAAGGAGCTAAGAATATTCTAGAAAGCATCAAGGGTTGTGTGTTTATTGCAAAGTGTAGTAAATGAAATCCTATAAAAGATAAAAGGGAGTCCTTTCAGCCAAAATTGGAAAATACAGAGACAACACTATGTTCACAATTTACAGGTCACTGATTAGCAGCGCAACTTTAAAAAATAGTTTACTCTCTGTGGGTTTCTGTGCCCTTAACCTAAAAATAATACAGGTGGCCTAGATTATTCCTCAGGTCTTGACCTAGAACCTCAAAAGAAGTCTCTATTTTTCAGAAAGGTTTTCAATTTATAGAATTATTGTGAAGATAGAAACCCTACAGACCCTCCACCCAGTTTCCCCTATTAATAAAACATCTTACATTAGCATGGTATAGGTTACATTAATGAACCAACGTTAATATATTATTAACTAAAGTCCATGCTTTATTCTGTCTTAGTTTTTTGGTATTGGGATTTGTCTGTTTTTATCACAATGTGACTGGAGTTAAGAAGTTCTGAGAGGAAGATCAAAGAGGTCAAATTCCATATTCAATACATCACATAAAGTGCACATACTACCCACTGTCACTGTTCCTGTTGACCTTGACCTACGTGTGAGGTACTCTTTGTTAGGCTTCTCTACTGTAGTTTTCCTTCCCAACTCCACACTGCTCTTCTCAGAATACTGTGTGCACAGCCCCCACGTAAGGAGTGAAGTGGTCCGCTTCACCTCCCTGACGACCCAGAAGCTACATAAATTACTTGGAATTCTTCTGCAGGAGTTTCTTCTCTCATTTATTTATTCCGTCATTTACTTACATCAGTATAGACTCAGATAATTATTTTACTTTTGGGTTATGATTCAAATTATGTTTTTGCTTGAGATGCTGTGGCCATTGGGAGCTCTTACAGCTGCCTCCTGCTCCCTTTGTACCCCCAAAGTTTTCTGTTTGGGGGTTTGCTTTTAGTACTTCCTTCCTTTCTGGCACAAGATGCTCCAGGTTCATCCTGCCTATTTCCTGTGCCAGTTCCAGATTCAGGCCATTTCTCCAAAGAGCTTTGGTTCCCTTTACTGAGGAATGGTATTAGAAACCAAGCCTCCGGTGCTAGGTTACTACTCGGAGTTACACTGCTTCTGTGCCCTTTCACCTACCAGGATAAGAAAATGAGTAGATGTGGGGCGCCTGGGTGGCTTAGTCGGTTAAGCGTCCGACTTTCGCTTAGGTCATGATCTCGCGGTTCGTGGGTTCGAGCCCCGCGTCGGGCTCTGTGCTGACTGCCGGTTCAGAGCCTGGAGCCTGTTTCAATCTGTGACTCCCTCTCTCTCTGACCCTCCCCTGCTCATGTTGTCTCTCTCCTAGAAATAAATAAAACATTAAAAAAAAAATTAAAAAAAAATAAAAAAAAAAAAGAGTAGATGCTAACCTGTGTCTAGATATGTACAGAAATATGCATATACATTTCTATATGTAACCATCTAGAGAGTATTATGCTGAGCGAAATAAGTCAGGCAGAGAAGGACAAATACCATGTTTGCACATATATGTGAATTAGGAGGAAGTTAACCGAGGACCATGGGGGAGAAGCAGGGGAAAAATAGTGGGGGAGAGGGAGGGAGGCAAACCATGAGAGACTCTTGAATACAGAGAACAAACTGAGGACTGATGGGGGTGGGGGAGAGGGGAAGAGGAGTGATGGGCATGGAGGAGGGCACTTGTTGGGATGAGCACTGGGTGTTATATGTAAATCAACTTAACAATAAACTATAAAAGGGGGGGGGAAGCACAGGCCCAAAATGGTGTCACTCAGGCTGAGTCCCCAAGTGGGCTTATCACCAAATCTAATTGCACTTTCAACCTTCCCGAGAGATACAATCTAAACTGGTTCGCAGGAACTCGTGACTTGGAACCAAAAAGTCTGCCAAATGGGCCCTCTCCATCTTCCTTTGGAGAAGGAATCTGCATGAGACGCCCTGCTGTTCCTCCTAAAGAGAAAGAACCTAGCCTGGAATAATCCTTTTCTTTTGCTTGTTAACTTTCTTGCCCTGCCCTCCTTCCTATTAAAATCTTCCATTTTTAACAACTCCTCCGACCTCCTACCTGCTTGGCTGGGTGGGATGCCGCCCAATTCATGAAATTGTTTAATAAAGCCAATTGGATCCGCAAATTTACCCAACAAATGTTGTCTCTTAACACCATCTGTGCTTGTATGGAGCCAAACAGGAGCTCATACTGATGTTTCCAAATCAAATTCACACGCACACACAGATAATTCTACCTTCCTCCCCAAAGTGGAGTTTTAAAATAATTCCAAGTCTAATGAACTGGCTTCACTTCAGGATTTAACTGCCTAATTAATGGAAATTAACCACGGCTCTAGTGCTATCTGACGCAGTATGCGGAAAGGTTCTTGGGTTGGAAGATAAGGCACAAGTGTGGAAAACTCCTTTTAACCTACCAATACTTTAGACTGCTTAACTTGTTCACTCCTCTACAAACTAGGATTACTTGCCTAATTTACGGGATTACCATGAAGATGAAATGTTCCAATATCGTTTTCTGAAGTGTTTAATTTTATATTAAATTCTAGGGTGTCTTTCTGTTCTTACTGAAAAAGCCAGGCTAGTCTTTTCTGAACCCGTTTTTGTCCATTACTTAACAGGCTCTTGTCTAGGAAGGAAATTTCATTGACAGTTACTTTTATTCTGCAGGCAACCAAGCCAAATGAGATTTAAAAAGCTCACCAATTAATAGAAAACACTGATGCCTGGGTCACTTGGAGGCCCCTGTGACCGCTTAATAAATGCCATCACAGGAATACCGGAGTCAAAAACAACAACAAAAAAACCAAAAAACACATACAAGCGCCAAAGGAGAAAAAGGACCTGAGACGCTGGGCAATTTTATACATTTTAACTCGTTTAACCCTGCGTCAATTCTAAATGGCAGTCTAATTGTCTTTTTACTGAACAGAAAAACGTAATCTGAGGAAAAACTGAGAAGCTGCCAACAGGCGGGTGCGGGATTCGATTCAACTTCAACTCAGAGTCTCGGGTCCTGCGCCGCAGCAGCCCGGGTCCCCCGACCCGACCCCACAGGGGGGCTGCGCCGCAAACTGGGCTCCGGCAGCTCGCGGAGGTTCCCGCCCCGCTGCGCGTTGTCGCCCCGGGCCTCCGCGCAGCCCCGGGCCGAGCGCGCCCAGCACTCACCCTCGGCGCTGTCGCGGGTCCGGTGGAAGTCCTCAGAGCGGCCGTCGCGGAAGGCCCGGCAAAGGCTGAGGCAGAGGAAATCGAGCATCCAGCCGGCAGCTACCGCCTCAGCCTCGGCCACTGGGCCTGGGTCTTCCTCCTCCTCCGGGACCCCCACCTGCACCTGGCACTCCAGCAGCTCCTGGCACTCGAACTGCTCCTGATCATCTCTCGGCGTTGCTGCCATTCGCTCTTCCGGGGACTCAGCGTCCTCCCCATCCGCACGCCCCCGCGGGCTCGGAGCTGCTACACCACCATTTTCCGCCATGTTAAATCACTCGCGCGAGTCCGGCCCCGCCCCAGGCGCCGAGTGACGATTGGCTAGTGCGGGAGGGCCCTGGGCGGTGCCTCGAAAGGTCTCTTCCGCCGGAGGGAACCCACCAATCACGTCGCCAGGGAGGGCGAGCGACTTGAGCCTTGAATTTGATTGGCCGAGGCCTGCTCCCGCCTCTGGTTGTTGAATTCCCCGCCACGCTGCAGCCCGGCTCCGTTGGCAAACGGACTACTACGGATTGGGCGACTAGTGAGGTTAGGAGGTGAGGAACCTGCTTTACACGCCTGATAAAATTCAACATTTACGGGAACAGCAACACGGTTACTTATAATAGAAAGCATTTTACCTGCAGTGTACTTGAAAAAGGTAGCTGTCACTGTTTTCCACGCCTAACACTTTAGGCGGTAGTGTTCACCTGACACAATACGCCATCACCGACCAAAACTTACAACGGACCTGGATCCGTGCCTCTCTAACCTTAGCGTGCATCACACGCGGCTCAGGGGCTTGTTATAACATAATTGCTGGGCTTTACTCCCAGAGTTTCCGTTCTGTAGGTCTGGATTGGGGTCCTTGAATTTGCAAGTATAACAAGTTTCCTGATGATGCTAGGTTGCTTGTCTGGGGACCACATTTTGAGGATCACTGCTCTAGAAAGAGTATATTACTATGGAAATGAATTTAATTAGGGTCTTAAATAGATTATAGAGTTCAGCTTTTACAACAATAAGTGAATGATTATTTTGAACTTTGAAATTTAGAGCATAGGAAGCGATAGGGGGGCCTCTATGTTCTGTTTCTCTATGCGGGTGATAGTTACTTTTGAACATGATTTATGCACGTTTCAATATGCAACATGAATAAAAAGTTTACTTTAAAAACCTTTTTATAATACACCCAACATTATCAATCCTTTGTGGGTTTTAATTTTATACATAGTTTAAATGGCGAGTCATTTAAAGCACAATATTGCAGCAGTTAAGATGCCCAGGTTGGAATGTTATCCACTAGGAGGAATTATATCTCAGTGACCTTGGAGGAATTATATCTCAGTTTCCTTTTCTGTATATTGGGCATAATAATAATTCCCTCATCACAGGCTTGTTGGGAAGATTAAAAGACTTGACAAATAAATATAAAGAATTTAAAATGAAACCAAGTACAGAATAAGTGCTCAATATTAGCTGGTAAAGCAGGACATTTGTACTCTCTGGAGAGAGTCATGAGTCAGATGGGATTGCACCTTCAGGCTCTATTGCCCCATAGAAAGTAAGTCTTGTTTGCAAACAATGGGGAACAGGGTTTAAGGGAATAAGGGTTAAGGTACATTAAGAACATAGCAAACAAACCCCAGGTTTCCAAACTGAAACTTTTTTTTTTGCCATGCAAGGCTCTCACGTGGGGCCTGCTTCTTCCTTTCCTCCAAGCCTCCTCTTCTTCCCAGCTGGAGTTAAGGGTTATTCTTAGGTGTATCACCAATTTGTTCAAAGCCACAGAGTAAACATATTTTCCTATGGCATCAACTTACTGAAAGATTCAGGGAAGGGAAACATTTTTTACTATTTAAAGCAATGATGTATAATGAAATGAGATGAAGAATTTCATTAATATTTAATTCTAATCATCAAGAAAATTTTAGTTTGGAGCTACATTCAGCTACATACTGCATTCTCTGTCTTCTTCCCTTACTGGTATATCCCTAAAGAGAATTTAAGAAGTGCTGGCCGAATAGGGTGGGTCAAAAGGTATTTTAAAATTTTATCCCAACAGAAAGTCAGTAATATAGAGTTTTTACTGGGTTGTGGGCCAGGAAATAGGCCTGGCGGAGGAAGTCTCTGAGGAAAAAAAAATTCTTAATTTTTTAATCCTGCTCATCAACATCAACATGGATGGTAGGTTTATTCTTCTAAATAATACTTTGACATCACTATGATCAGAAAACTCAGGTGTAATAAGTATAAAATACCTACAATAAAGCTTATAATACATAAAGTCCCAATAACACTTTAGCCATATTTAATTTAATGGTATAATAGATAATTCAAACACATGGCATTTCAGGAAAACTTATGTTATCTGTAAACATTCTGAGATGGTGATTTTTTTTTCTTTTTTTCTTTTGGCAGGGAAGTTTATAATGTATCATTTCCTTGGGACTACTTTCAAGGCGATGGATCCTAATAGTTTGAGGTGAAGGAATGGGTGACTGCGGAGAAAAATCATGAGTGTGATGACTTTCAAGTCATCCCTTGGGTAATATTAGAAAATTATATTTCTTGCAAACTTGAATATATGGACTGAGATCCCTTAACTGCTACAATTATCCTCAGTTAAAGGGCTGTTATTAGGGGAGGCATTTGATTTGTTTTGTGATGTTCCTAAGAGCACGTCATGAACCAAAGACGAAAGTTTTGGGGATACGAATTTGATTTCATATCACATAAGCTTTCTAACCATTAGAGCTTTCCCCCAATGAAGTATTGTCAAGTACTGAGTTCTCACCACTAGAATCATTGCTGTAATGGCTGGCTGACCACTGGACAAAGATACTGTGGAAAGATTCTGCTATGGACTGAAATATATCCCCCAGCCCCATCTCTCAAGTTCATATGTTAATTCTCTAACCCTCAATGTCACTGTACTTAGAGATTGGGCATATAAGGAGGTAATTAAGGTGAAATGAGGTCATAATGGTGAGGATAGATCCTGTAGGATTAGCATGCTTATAAGAAGAGACCCCACAAAGCTCTCTACTCTCTTTCTCTCTCCAGCCATGGAAGGACACAGTGAGAAGGTGGCTGTCTGCAAGCCAGGAAGAGAGTCCTCACTAGGAATGAAATCAGCCAGTACCTTGATATTGACCTTCCAGCTTCCAGAACTGTGCGAAGATAAATTTATGTTGTTTAAGACCCCCAGTCTGTGGTATTTTATATGGCAGCCCAAGTTAACTAGTACAGATATTCCTGTAAAGTCCAGAAGGCATTTCCTATGCTGTTGCAATTTCCAAGACTGTTTTTGCCTTGGACCGTTTTTTTTCTTTCTTTCTTTCTTTCTTTCTTTCTTTCTTTCTTTCTTTCTTCCCTTTCTTTCTCTTTCTTTCTTTCTTTCTTTCTTTAATTTTTTTAAAAATTTATTTCTGAGAGAGAGAGAGAGAGACAGCGTGAGCAGGGGAGGGGCAGAGAGAGAGGGAGACACAGGAATTGAAACAGGCTCCAGGCTCTGAGCTAGCTGTCAGCACAGAGCCCGATGCGGGGCTCGAACCCATGAACCGTGAGAGTCCCAACCTTGGACTGTTTTCTAAGGAACATTTTGAAACCCATAAGTTTCTTAAATTATGTTTACCTATTGAATATTTGTCACTACTATAAGCTAATGATCTCATTGTGAATAATAGAAACTTTTATTTTTGTGTTTATAAATATCTTTTGATTATCCAAATTACATACAGGTCTTCCTCTATTTACAGTGGGGTTATGTCCCAATAAACCCATCATAAATTGGAAATACTGTAAGTCAAAAATGCATTTAATAAACATAACCTACTGAACATCACAGCGTAGCCTAGCCTACCTTAAATGTGCTCAGAGCACTTACATTAGCCTACAGTTGGGCAAAATCATCTAATACAAAGCCTATTTGATAAGAAGGTGTTGAATATCTTATGCAATTTACTGAATACTGTACTGACAGTGAAAACCAGAACAGTCGTAAATATATTGGTCATTTACCCTTGTGACCGTGTGGCTGACTGGGGGCTGTGGCTTGCTGCCACGGCCAGTATCATAAGACAATATCTTAACAAATACTGCTAGTGGAAAAAGATCAAAAGTCACAATTCAAGGTATGGTTTCTACTGAATCACACCATCAAGAAGTTGAAAAATCGTAGGTCAAATCACTGTAAGTTGAGGATTTTCTTAGGTACTTTTCAAACATCCTTTTTTTTTTTCTTTCACTAAGTACCTATTGTGTGATGTATATTTAGCAAAAATGGGGCATGATAAACATAAAGATGTTTATCTCCTTAAAGAATTATCGTTCAGTTGGGACACACTCATGCACATTTACACACATTGTACATAAACATTAGACTAATGAGTGATGCTTAGGAAGACTACTCAGAGTTTGGCGGAGGGAAAGAGTCTAAGCCAATGAGAGTTTGGTAAGAAATTTGAGCAGAGGTGCTTAGTATCCTTGCAGGCAGAGAGGACAGAAGAGAGACCTGGGTGCAAACTAGTTTCTATTTTAAAAGTAAGTTTAGGGAGCCTAAAATACACTGGTTTTGCTGTCCTCACAAATAGTTCTCAACCTCAGTTATGCATCAGATTTTCTCATTGGGCTGAAGTAGACTTCATATTCACTAAATCAGAATTTCTAGGGGCAAGGTTGGAACATTTGTGTTTTTCAAAATTCCCACAGTTGATTCCAGTACAGAAACAGGGTTGATAGCCACTGAACTACGCAAATAAAATGATAGTAGATAAGTGCCAGATTTCTACTCCACTTTGAGGTAGTGGGCACTATAGGTAAATATAAATGTCTACAAACTCACATATATGCACTATATACATATATACATACACTCTATAATTCCAGTAAAGAAGAATATTTAATTATGAAGACGTCTTCCTTTCTCGGAATTAATAAATTAGTATCAAGGACTAAAGGAATGTTTAGAACTGAAATGAAGCAGGTTTCAGGAAGGAACATACTATTTTAGGCAATTCTAATTTTTTAGAGCTTTAAAAATATTTGGAAGATCTTTATAATCCCTTGAGATATTTTAGGAGGTATTACATGCATTTCAGGATTAGCGTGTGACATGACTGACAGAATACAGGCATCAGACAGGTGCTAGATCTCCCTGCAAGGAAATGCAGTAGGTTAAATGCGGGATGTCCAGTAATGTCTCCCCATGATCATTGTATTTTATTGCTTTATTAAAAAAACACAACCTCTGGTGTACGTCTTTAATAAGTCGTTGATTAGCTAATATTTTTAATAA